TGCCAGGGTTTATAGGTGGGAGGAGGGTGTCATTAAAAAAGGATAACATGAAAGATTTATTTAGTTGCTGGAACTGTTTCATCCAAGTGGGAGAAAAAGATGTAAAACTGTCTCTATTCACAGACATAATTGTCTATGTAGGAAATCTGACGGAATCTACAACAAAATCTACTAGAACTAACACACGACATTAGCACGGTTGTAGCATACAGTTCAATATACAAAACTTATTGTATTTCTAAATATTGGTAACAATCAAAACTTGAAATAAAAATACCATTTACAATAGCCTCAGAAATATGAAATATTTAGGGTTAAATCTGACAGAAGTATGCAAGACGTGTAAACTGGAAACTACAAAATATTGCTGAGATAAATTAAAAAAGCTCTAAATAAATAGAGATAAATCTTATTCATGGGTTTGAAGACTCAATATTGTTAAGATGTCAATTCTCCCCAGATTTATCTACAAATTCAACACAATCGCTATCAAAATCCTAGCATGCATTAAGAAATTAATAAGCTGATTTCACAATTCATACTGATATGCAAAGTACCTAGAATAACCAACAAAATTTAGAAAAATGACAAAAATTGGAAGACTAACGCTACTTGATTTCAACACTTATTTAAAGCCCAGTAATCAAGACAGTGCAGTACAGGTATCTCCCACTTTTAGAAAACTCACTTTACGTCACTTCACTATTATGAAAGTCCTGCATTAGTACCTGTTTTTGCTAACTGAAAGAAATCTGAAGAGGATTTTCACTTTTATGAAAAAGGGTGAAAACAAAATTAGTGTTCAGTGTTTGTTTTGCCAGCGAACTCTTAGAAGAGGTAGTGTTCTCCCCAAGCAGAGAGTGGCATCACCAAGTTTCCCTGGACACTACACTAAGCATCTCAGCATCAAGCCACCCTAGCTCTGAACTGTGTGAACACTATATGTTAGTGTTATTTTTGGTTTTAGGTGTTATTTGGTAGATTATCTTTTGGGTCTTGGAACACTACAAAAATTTTCCCATGTAAATTACTAGAATGGAAGTTGCTTCTTCACTTTATGCCATTTTGACTTACCAAAAGTCTTATAGGAATACTATAAGCATAGCAGGGCAAACTTGTATTGGTCTCCAAACAGACCCAGAGAAATAAAACTAAAAAGAGAGTCCAGAATTAGACTCACACATACATGGACAGTTCAGTTTTTACAAAGGTGAAAAAACAATTAAGTGGCAAAGGATAGTGTTTTTAACAAATTATGCTAGATCAATTAGACCTCCATACTGGGGGGGGGGGGCTCCAATCCAGACCTTGCACCATATACAAAAATTAGCCACAAGTGGATCAGAGACCTGAATGTAAAACTATAAAACTTCTAGAATAAAACATAAGAAAAAGCTTTTGCAATCTTCCATTAGGCAAAGATTTCTTAGATATGCCATCAAAAGTACAATCTATAAAAGAACAAATCGATGATTTAAACTTTCTCAAAACTAAAAGCTTCTTTTCAAAAGACAGTATTGAGAGAAAATATATGCAAATCATATATTTGATAAAGTATCTGTATCCAGAATACTTTTTTTAAAATCTCAAAACTCAGTAATAATAAATAACCCCCCAAAACGGGCAGAAGATTTGATAGACTTAACCAAAGAAAATATAAAAATGGCAAATGTTGTTGTATGTCATGGAGTCCATTCCAATTTACAGTGACGCAATGTGATAGGGTAGAACTGTCCTATGGGTTTACTAAGTTGCAATCTTTACTGGAGCAGATTGCCAGGTCTTTTCTCCCACAAAGCTGCTTGTTGTTGTTGTTGTTGTTATGTGCCATCAAGTCGGACAAACTCATAGCGACCCCTCCTTGGGTTTCCAAGGCAGTATCACTACAGCAGTAGATTGACCCATCTTCCTTCTGTGGAGTGGCTGGTGGGTTTGAACCGCCAGGCTTCTGGTTAGCAGTCAAGGCCTTAGCCACTACGCTACCAGAGCTGCTAGTGGGCTCAAACTACTGATCATTTGGTTAACAGCCAAGCGCTTAATTAACTGTTGTACCACTAGGGCTTCTTCAGATGGCAAACAGGTGTATGAAAAGATGCTCAACATCATTATTCATTAATGAAATCCAAATTTAAATCACAATGACCTAACACTGCACATGTGTCAGAATACCTAAAATTTAAAAGACCATACAAAGTGTTGTTGAGGATATGGAGGAACTGGAACTCTCCTAACACTGCTGTTGGGAATGTAAAATAGTACAACCAGTTTGAAGAACAGTTTGGTAATTTCTTAAAAAGTTAAACATATACCTACCAGTCATTCTATACCTAGATATTTCCACAAAGGAACTGAAAGAATATATCCAAAGACTTGTACATGGATGTTCATTGCAACTTATTTGTAAAAGTCTTAAATTGAAAACAATTCAAATATTCACCAATAAGCAAATGCATGAATAAACTCTCATCAGTGGGAATACAAAATAGTACAGACACTTTGAAAAACAGTTTGGCAGTTTCTTACAAAGTTAAACATGCATTTACCATATGATTTCACATACCAATGTATTTGCCCGAAAAATAAAAATGTACGTTTCATATGAAAATCTGCACTTGAATATTTCAGGTTTTATTTATAAGTGCCCCAAACTGACAACAATATAAATGTATTTCAACAGGTGAATGGACTACAGTATATCCATACAAGGAATACTACTCAGTAATAACAAAGTACAAACTGTAGATATGCACAATATGGATGAAATTCAAATGCATTGTATTTAGTGAAAGAAATCAGATACAAAAGACTACACACCTACTGTATGATTCAATTTATATAATATTCTGGGAAAGACAGTATAGGTATAAAAAACAGATTATATAACTATGTTGTACTTACCACTGTGTTGTATTTATCAATTTACTTTACTCCCTCATTAATCTATAACACTAAGCCTAGAGTTTAGCATAGTGGTTGGTGCAAGGCCAACACTCAACAAATGTTTATTGAGTGCAGCATTGTCCTTCCCTAGCCCACACACTTAAGAGAGTATCACTGCTCACTGTCAGGGACTTCTCTCAAAAAATGAGTAATAGATGGAGTCAACAGAATGTACCCATCGAAAGCTTAGATTGCCTCTTCTAGAGTGTAAACTACATTCAGGATACCTATATCCTAGTTATTTTCTGTCTGGATGACTGCAGGGCCTCTATGAGCCTCTTTCCCAGCTCTGTCCTGATGGCAGAGCCTGCTGCCTATGAGAGAACTTCTAGACCTGAAAGGAAGCCATGACCTGGCTGTTCACAGGGATATGGGCAGAACTTGGCTATGGCCTGAAGTATCCACATCTTGTATGAAAGGCCATAAATAGGAATAGAAGGGGTATGGGAAAGGACTGGAAGCCAGCTCTCCCCACAATGCCACATGCTAGTGAGTTATTCCAAGTCGATGGGTCAAAAGTCAAGCTGGAACATATATCAAGGTAAGAGAACAGAACATATATATTTTACTCAACAATGTGTTAACTTGATTTATAACTTAAATATTTAGACATGTGGTATATGGTTCTCCAGCGATACTCTTACCACTAGAGGATATATTTTCTAAAATTATTGCTAAAGCATGGCAGGTCTCCATGTCTTCCAGCCCCACAGAAAAAAATATTCAGTAAGGTAATTTCATGGTATGTAATTTCTGTTTGTACTTGTTCATGTTGACCCCTGTTGTAGTTAACATTATGTGTCAACATGGCTGGGCCATAATTCTAAGTGGTTTAGCAGTTATGATATAGTTATCCCTCATGATGAGGTCTAACATAATGTAATCACCTCCATAATGAGATCAATATGAACAGTCACTCAGCTGAAAGGAGTTTCCTTTGAGGTGTAGTCTTCTTTCAAAATCTATGAAAAAGCTCTGGGAAAGGTCTCTGGCTTTTTGCTTGATATCCTGCATCTGACTGATCATCATCATCTGCACTTGAACTACCAAATTGCCTGCTGATCTTGGAATTGCTGCCTTCACACCCTATGAAGCAACGGCCTGCCATTTTACCTGCTGATCTTGGATTTGTCGGTTTCTGAATCCAGCAGCCTGCTGTACTGCATGCCAACCTGAGGTTCGTCAGCCCCTGCAGTTGCGTGAGTCAGAAGAAGCCTCCAGCTTGACTTTTGACCTACGGACTTGGACTTGTCAGTCTCTACAACTGTGGGAGCCATTGCTTCTCTGGAGAACCCAGCCTAAGACAACCCTTTAATGACTTCCTTGGGTAATAATCTTTCAGTCTTCAACAACTGAAAATTCTCTCACTTTACTCAGTTCTCACACTAGGAATGAATTTCATGAAATGACTTGTCCCTGCTCTAACCATTTTTTCCCCACTAGACCTGGAGCTGATGTTCAAAGGAAACAGAGGAACAGCTCAGGGAAATGATTATGTCCCGCAGTTACCAAGCAAAGACTCAAGGTAGTTCTGAGCTGGGAGACTCACTGGAGATTCCACCTGGGGCTCCTGGGTACCCCTTCCGCAGACCCGAACGGCTCTGGAGGAAAAGCTCTAGTCGCACAGTGGGTAAGGCATTTGGCTGCTAGCTAGGAGATTGGTGGTTCAAACCCATCCGCTGCTCTGCGGGAAGAAAATGAGCAATCTACTTCCGTAAAATTTACAGCCTTGGAATCCCAATGGGGGTCACTATAAGTCTGAATCCACTCGATGGCAGCGGGTTATTGGGTTATAGGCACACTAGGGAAGCCAAGACACCCAAGGCAGCAGCCGACTTCTAACTCACCTGTCACAACTTGGAGTCTCCGTAGTAACTGCCACTTCCGTCTCCGACCGGAAGCCCGCGAAGTCTCCCGCTCCGCCTCCACGGGGGCGGAGAAACTCAGTGCGTCAGGCCCAGCTGGGAACCACTCTTTCTCCGGTACTGGCGCTTCGCCCAAGTGCTGAGGACTCACTAGTGGTCCGGAGTAGTCGGGGTGCAACGCTTTGTCTGGGGGCCATGGACGCCTTCACTCGCTTTACCAACCAGACCCAAGGCCGGGACCGACTCTTCAGGTGAGTCAGGTGCCAGAAGCCTCCACCTGTTTCTCTCTCGACCCTGTATTCGGTTCTGTTCTCTGGCGTCCGGAGAAGGAGGTAGTAGCCTTGTGGACCGAAGCGGGAAGGACTGCTAGCTCCCATGGAGGGAGTTTGGTTTTCGAGTGCCTCCTCACTCTAAATTCAGTGGGGTTGGGCCATCCGCACCCGTGTTGGGTCCTGAGCCTCACGTGCGAAAAAAGACCAGGTGCCGGGCATCCCAGCCACCTTGAGGCTGCTCACAACCCCAGTCGACGAATCTTCCTCTTCTCCCAACTTTGTTCTCCGGGCAGAGCAAGAAGCAGTTCTCAACGCTCAACATTCTCCTGAGGACTTTTTTTTTTTTTTTTTTTTAAGAGAAACATTCGCCTGACATTTGTGGCTTAGGGAAGCAAACCATCTTGCTGTGGCTTCAAACACCACTTGAAATACAATACTTTGGGGAAATATTTTATTTACTTCTTTATCTTCCATTATTTCCCGATCTACCTCATTACACACAGGAGCTGTGGTAGCGTAGTGCCTAAGGCACTTGACTGCTAACCAGAAGGCAGGTGGTTCAAACCCACCATCCACTCCTTGGAAGGAAGGTTGGCCAATCTACTTCCGTAGTGATACTGCCTCGGAAACCCAAAGAGGGGTCGCTATGAGTCGAGTCTGATCCGAGGGCACATAACAACAATAACCTCATTACAATACTACATGTGAAGTAGTTTTGTAAAATGTAATGCGGTACTGAGAATTTCAGAGAAGGAACTGCTCCTCTAAGGTACATGCTATACTACTGAAAATATTCAGCGGAGATTGTGATTTTGAAACTGATTAGCTCCTGATGTTTCTTTTAGAAATTTGGTTGATTCTTGCATTAGTTACAGTGGTATTTAACACCCCTTCCTGGGAACTCTTCTGGGTGTACAAATGCTAACACAGAGACCAGCAAAACTAGGCCCAATAATAAAATGGAAGCAAACTAGATGCCAAGTATTTCTATCAGTGTTTTACAATTAATAACTCATTTAACTCTCATCACAACCCTGTGAGGTACACTCTCTGAAATTATCCTTATTTCATAGATGGGGAAGCAAACAGAAGGAAGTTTTAGGTACTAAGTGGTGGAGCTGAGAGATTCAGATCCACACAATTCAGCTCCAGTGCCCACCTCTTACTACTAAGCCACACTACCTTCTAGTGAATCTGATGGATTTTCAAAATAGTTGCATTATGTTCAAGCATCAATAGAATAGAAGCCTGTAATCTCAGTGTAAAGTTTATCAAGGACATTGGTTAATAAAATAATTGTTTAGGATCTACTTACTCAGCAAGATCTGAGATCTCTGGCATTTCCATTGGTGATCTTCATGATCTCTGTTTTCTCTATGAACAAATTGGTATTTATAAAATATGCCTTGTTTTTTGGACCCACTCCCATTGCTAGACCAAATCTGAGAAAGAGATTTATTGACATGGCCAGCTTGAGCCCCTCTAATCAGGAAGCACACTTAGAAAAGAGAGAAAGATTGTTTCTTATCCCTGTCTTCCCATTTTACATTATTCCCAATAATAAGTTCACCATTTTAGAAAATGTGCCACATTTTTCTTGAGGATAATATTTATAGCATAAAGAGATTCAAATACAGGGTAGAAGGAAGCTAGTCAATTTCTCTATAAAATAAAATGTCAAATGCATTTGGATGTTTGCATGTTACAAAGTTTCTTGCTTATTACATTTCTGCAGTAAAGCAGCCATGTGTAGGCATGACAATAAGCACTTTACTGAATATATTTTAAAAAAAAAGTTATGGTCAATTTCTATTTATAGTGACCCCATAGAACAGGGTAGAACTGCCCCGTAGGGTTTCCAAGGCTATAAATCTTTAGGGAAGCACACTGCAGTATCTCCTGGGGAGTAGCTCATGAGTTTGAACCACCCATCTTTTGGTTAGCAGCCAACTGCCTAGCCACTGTATCACCAGGGTCCACAATTGAACATATAACAGAAAAAAACAAACCAAACTCACTGCTGTCAAGTCAGTTTGACTCATAGCGACCCCTCCTTGGGTTTCTGAGCCAGTATGTCTACAGAAGTACATTGTCTATCTTCTTTCTTAGGAGTTGCTGGTAGTTTTGAACCACCAGTCTTTTGATTAGCAAATGCCTTAGGCACTACGCTACCAGAGCTCCCAATTGTATATATACAACAACAAAATGCAACACACTGCCTCAAGTTGGATCGGACTCATAGCAACCCCTCCTTGGGTTTCTAAAGTGGATCACTGTGGAGGCAGATTGTCCAACCTTCCTTCTGAGGAGTGGCTGGTGGGTTTGAACTGCTACCCTTCTGGTTAGCAGTCAAATGCTTTAGGCACTACGCCATCAGAGCTCCCAACTCAATATATGTTGTTGTTGTTTATGTGCCATTGAGTCGGACCCGACTCATAGTGACCCCTCCTTGGGTTTTCGAGGCAATATCACTACGAAGTAGATTGCCCCATCTTCCTTCCGAGGAGTGGCAGGTGGGTTTGAACCGCCAGACTTCTGGTTAGCAATCAAGTGCCTTAGGCACTACGCTACCAGAGCTCCCAACTCAATATATAGTACTTATTAAATAAGAGCTCATCTGTATTTTATGTAAAATACTAATTAGTTCTAAAGACAGATATAAGAACATATCTGTATTTATGTACTAGTGTGTATATGGTCCTTTTGTTTTTCAAAAATTAAACAATTTTCAGACTAGACTTTTCATTTGGTTTTGGTTCAAGTTTGTGTCCTGTCACATATGTGGTAGGTTAACTACATGGCAAAAACGTTCATTTTAGAAGTCTGAAAGTCATTCTACACTGAGTAAAATAAAGAGGATGAATCTTTGCAGACTTAACACAAGGGAAATTCTTGTATAATTTCCTTCTTTGACTACATTCATTTCTCTGTGCCAGCAAAAGGCCTTTTGGAGGGCTGTTAACTGCATTATTGCAGAGTTCACTTTCATTACCTTTGTGTTGCATTTCCATCATACATTCAACATGTTCTACCCTTTGGCCCTGTGGGATGTCTGTTGCAGTATTTTGCTCTTGTAAGAGCTGCTACATGAGAAACTGTCTTGGAAGCTTTGCCTTTTGTAAGACATGTTTTTCTTTCCCTTACTTCATGTATCAAGTTTTATTTTGTTTGTAAATTATTCTTTTTATTTTATTGTTTTTTCCATTTCAGAGCCACTCAGTACACATGCATGTTGCTTAGATATTTGTTAGAACCTAAAGCTGGAAAAGAGAAAGTGGTAATGAAGCTCAAGAAACTGGAGTCCAGTGTGAGCACTGGCCGTAAATGTAAGTACCTTGTCTTTTGAGGGACAGTGGCACTTGGTTTAGAATCATCAGCCTCAGACCCTGTAATTCACAAAACACTCTCTAGTGATTAATTTCTAGTCAGTCAAGTTGATAAAGTCAGTCAGTAAGGCTGCCTTCATGACAAGAATGACAAGCCATAAAGGTTGAATGTTTTCCTGCAAACCATTCACAAATACACTCCTGCGTTCACATTTGGTGCTACACCATACCTTTCTGCTTAGTCATCAGCAGTGGGACGCAACAGTGTATTAGTTCACCTTTAGCTTTTAGAATCACAAATATTTTGACAAGCCCAGACATGAATGTCTGGCTCCTAAGAGCTCTTGATGCTCTGTAAAAGAACAGAATACCTATGTCCCAGACCACTTGCCAATTCCTCTTATGTGGGTCTGCTAGAGGAGATGGATAGATGAATAGATTTTCTTAGACCATATGTATGATGGTTTCATGTTAAAAACAAAAAGTGAAGTCAGTGTTTTACACTCATTTAATTCACTTTCATAATAAATCATACTGGGATATCCCATACTTTTAATGTTGTTGTTAGGTGTCGTTGAGTTATCTGTGACTCAAAGTGACCCTGTGTACAGCAGAACAAAACACTGCCAGTCCTGTGCCAGCTCCACAATCCTTGCTATACTTGAGTCCATCATTGCAGCCACTGTGTCAGTATATCTTGTTGAGGGCTTTCCCCTTTTTTGATGACCCTTTGCTTTACCAAGCATGATATCCTTCTCTAGGGAATGGTCTGACAACATGACCAAAGTAGGTGCGACGAAGTCTGGCCATTCTCACTTCCAAGGAACGTTCTAGCTGCACTTCTTCCAGGACAGATTTGTTAGTTCTTTTAGTAGTCCATGGTACCCTCAGCATTCTTTGCCAACACCATAACTCAAAAGCATCAACTCTTCTTCTGTCTTCCTTATTCATTGTCTAGCTCTCGCATGCATATGAGGCAATTGAAAATACCATGGCTTCTGTCAGGCGCACCTTCTTCAAGGAGACATCTTTGCTCTTCAGCACTTGAAAGAGTCTTTTGCAGCAGATTTGCCCAGTGCTATACATCATCTGATATCTTCATTGCTGCTTCCATTGGTGTTGATTGACAACCAAGTAATATGCAGTCTTTGACAACTTCAATCTTTTCTCCGTTTATCGTGATGCTGCTTATTGGTCCAATTGTGAGGATCTTTGTTTTCTTTATATTGAGGTGTAATGCCTAAGATATATGACTGCTAACCAGAAGGCTGGTGGTTCAAACTCACCAGCCACTCCTCAGAAGGAAGGTTGGGTAATCTACTTCTGTAGTGATACTGCCTTGGAAACCCAAGGAGGGATCACTAGAGTAGAAATAGACTCGACAGCAGTATTTTTTTTTAATCCATACTGCAGACTGTAGTCTTTAATCTTCATCAGTTGGTCCTTCAAGTCATCCTCACTTTCAGCAAGCAAAGTTGTATCGTCACCGTATCACAGGTTGTTAATGAGTCTTCCTCCAATCCTGATGCCATGCTCTTCTTCATATAGTTCAGCTTCTTGGATTATTTGCTCAGCATACAGAGTGAATAAGTATGGTGAAAAGATACAACCCTGACACTCACCTTTCCTGATTTTAAACCATGCAGTGTACTATTGTTCTGTTCGAATGACAACCTCTTGGTCTATGTACAGGTTCCTCATGAGTACAATTAAGTGTCCTGGAATTCCCATTCTTCTCAATGTTATCTATAATTTGTTATGATCCACATAGTCAAATGCTTTTGCATAGTCAGTAAAACACAAGTGAACATCTTTCTGGTATTCTTTGCTTTCAGCCAAGACCAATCTGATATCAGCAATGTTATCTCTTGTTCCATGTCTTCTTCCTGAACTTCTCTGGAAGTTTTCTGTCAATATATTGCTGCAACCGTTCTTGAATTATCTTCAGTAAGATTTTACTTGTGTGCGATATTAATGATATTGTTTGATAATTTCCACATTTGGTGGGATCACCTTTCTTTGGAATGGGTACAAATATGGATCTCTTCTAGTCAGTTGGCCAGATAGCTGTCTTCCAAATCTCTTGGTATAGCCGAGTATCTGCCTCCAGTGTGGCACCCATTTGTTGAAACATCTCAATGGGTATTCCATCGATTCCTGGAGTCTTGTTTTTCACCACTTCCTTCAGTGCAGCTTTGGCTTCTTCCATCAGTACCATTGGTTCTTGATCATATGCCACCTCCTGAAATGGATGAACATCGACCAATTCTTTTTGGTACAGTGATTCTGTGTATTGCTTCCATCTTCTTTCGATGTTTCATGTGTCATTCAGTACATTGCCTGTAGAATCTTTCAGTAGTGCCACTCAAGGCTTAAATTTTTTCTTCAGTTCTTTCCACTTGAGAAATGCCACACGTATTCTTCCCTTTTGGCTTTCCAACTCCATGTCTTTGCACATTTCATTATAATAATTGACTTTGTCTTCTCAAGCTGCTCTTTGAAATCTTCTGTTCACCTCTTTTATCTTATCATTTCTTCCATTTTCTTTAGTTACTCGTTGTTCAAGGGCAAGTTTCAAAGTCTCTTCTGACATCTGTTTTGGTCTTTTCTTCCTTCCTTGTCTTTTTAATGACCTTTTGCTTTCTTCATGGATGATGTTCTTGATGTCATCCCACAATTATTCTGGTTTTCAGTCATTAGTGTTCAAAACATCAAATCTATTCTAAATCAATGCATCAGATACTAAATTCAGGAGGGATATATTCAAGGTCATATTTTGGCTTTCATGGACTTGTTTTAATTGTCTTCAACTTCAACTTCAACTTGCATATGAGCAGTTGATGGTCTGTTCCACAGTCAGCTCCTGGCTTTGTTTTAGCTGAAGATACTGAGCTTCTCCATCACCTGTTGCCACAGATGTAGTCAGTCTGATTCCTGTGTACTCCATCTGGCAAAGGCCACACGTAAAGCCATCATTTGTGTTGTTGAAAAAAGGTATTTGCAATGAATAAGTTATTGGTCTTGCAAAATTCTGTCATACAATCTCTAGTATTATTTCTGTCACCAAGGCCAAATTTTCCAACTACCGGTGATTCTTCTTTTTTTCTAACTTTTGCATTCCAATCCCCATTGATAATCAGCACATCTTGACTGCATGTTTGGTCAATTTCAGACTGCAGAAGTTGGTAAAAATCTTCGGTATCCTCATCTTTGGCTTTGGTGGTTGGTGCGTAAATTTGAATAATAGTAGTATTAACTGGCCTTCCTCATAGGCATATGGATATTATCCTATCACTGACAGCATTGTATTTTAGGATAGATCTTGAAATGTTCTTTATGGTGATGAATGCCATGCCATTCCTCTTTAATTTGTCATTCCCAGCATAGTAGATCATATAGTCTGATTCAAAATGACCAAAACCAGTCCATTTCAGCTCACTAATGCCTAGGATATCAATCTTTATGCATTCCATTTCATTACTTTTAATAAGAATAGCTATTATGCCTGATTGTTGGTTATTTGATGAGAACTAGTTGTTGCTGCAATAGGCAAGCAAAGCATTTGGAATGATCATCAGATATTGAGCAGTTATTTTTGAGCACTTACTTTTTAAAGGTAGAGTCCTGAACTTCATGAGAGAAATAAGATGATGACATGGTACAAATCATGATATGAGATTTAGTGTTGAATCTAGCTGGCTGGAGTGGAGGAGGCTAGGGAGATGGAAAAAGAGCAGTTTTATACGGTGGTTTCCTCTAATAAAAGCTCAGAGGAGGTAAGAGCAAACCATTGTTTTGGAGCATCAGTGAGGAATTAGCTTGATGAAAGAAGCTTAAATTGTCAAGCAGAGGGATAGGAAGGGTAGGGTGAGCATTTCTGGACAACACTGAAGGCCAAGACTAGAAGTTTTATTTGAGATTCTTAGTATGTTAGAGCTTAAAGGTCCATGAGTGGTCACCAGTCTTTGAACCCCAGGAGGAGCTTATTCAAAGTCACTCAGCCAGTTAGTGAAAGAACTATAATAGGAACCCAGGAGTATTCATTGCATATACTGTTTTGTGTTATTTTTATAAAATAATAGAGACATTCTTCTGAGATTATAAGTTTCCTGAAGGTAGCTACTTCTGAACACTTACTAGTCTAAGGTATTGTCCTTTAAGGTGAAGTACTTATTTGGTATGCTGAATAGTATATTTAGGACTAGAATTCATTCTCAGTTACCAAAAAGAAACAAACTCACTGCTGTTGAGTCGATTCAACTCATAGCAACCACTCCTTGGGTTTCCGAGGCGGTATCACTACAGAAGTAGATTGCCCAATCTTCCTTCCGAGGAGTGGCTGGTAGGTTTGAACTTAGGCACTATGCATTCTCAGTTAGTACTTGATAAATATTTGTGGATTGATTAATTGATTACGTGCTTACCTAAGGACATACCATTGCAATAGCTGATTTAATTCAACTAGGAGTCATACATAACAATGTTATTAATTGCTCTATCTACTATGTACTTTGCCAAGAGTTTGGACAATGAAAATGGTGGATTTTTTTTTTCCCACTAACACTATCATGTGGAAATTAAATGAAATGTAAACCATCAAACTTTTCAAAAGAATATTGGATCTAGAGTTCATGTTATCATAGCACCTTTCTTCTAAAGAATTGTAGCTGGTAATATTCAAACGTAACAATCCACATTCATGATTGGCCTTGCCTAGAGTTTATGTTAAAGTGTTCACTGGAATGAGGAGATAAATGTTAAAAGTCACTATCTTTTATGCCTTTCAGGATCATTTTAGGTGTCCTTAACATACTGTAAAATCTTCCTTTTTTTCTGAGCAAAGTCTGAGCCTCAAATGATGTTCACTTGTTAAAAAGCCAGTTCTGGCCTCTCACCTTGATACAGTTCTATTACATGCTAATTAAGTAACTGTTAACCATTGTGGGTTCTTCTTGCAGGGTTCAGACTAGGAAATGTGGTACATGCTGTGCAGGCGACTCAGCAGAGCATTCATGCCACTGACCTGGTGCCCCGCTTTTGCCTAACATTATCCAATGTAAACCGTGTGGTTTATTTTATCTGTGACACTATCCTCTGGGTGAGAAGTGTAGGGCTTGCCTCTGGCATCAACAAAGAGAAATGGAGAAAGTGGGCTGCCCGTCACTACTACTATTCTCTCCTGCTGAGCCTGGTCAGGGATTTGTATGAAATCTCCTTACAGATGGAACAGGTTGCACACATAATGGCAAAGAAGGAAAAATCACCATCCCAGAATCTTCTTGGACATAGTGTGGCTGATGAAGAAACAGAATGGCTCCAGTCCTTTCTCCTTCTCTTATTCCGATCCTTGAAGGCTCATCCTCCCTTGCTCCTGGATACAGTGAAGAATCTTGGTGATATCCTGAACCCTTTGAACGAGCTGGGGATCTGTAAGTCCAATCCTGGCATCATTGGACTTGGAGGTCTTATGTCTTCTATAGCAGGCATAATCATTGTGGCATATCCTCAGATGAAGCTGAAGACCCACTAAGGCAGGAATAGCACCTGATATCAATGACGACCTTTTAGTGCAATGGACATTTGGATTAATCACACATCACATCTTACTGAACTTAAGAACTTGGTCACATAACCATTTAGTGACTTGTGATGTGAGCAGAAGTGGGCCAGGAATGGAGAAGAGGAGGAGCATAAAGATTTATGGATACTGTTTAGCGAGCTGGACTGACTTCTGCATTTCTGAATATTATCCCTTCCTAACATTTATTAAACATCTCATGCATATGGTAGGTCCTTATTGTTTGTTGAATGAATAAAAATTGAAAGAGACCCTATTAGGCAAATAGTAAACACTAATATATAGTAACTTTTGGGTTGTGTAGATCATTGGTTTTGCACAACTGCTGTAGGTGTGATATTCAGCACTCTCTTAGATCTGGTACAAAACAAAACAAAACAAAAAAACATCCACTGTCATTGAGTCAATTCTGACTCATAGCGACCCCCATTGGGTTTCCAAGGCAGTAAATCTTTATGGAAATAGATTGCCCATCTTCCTTCCACAGAGCAGTTGGTGGGTTTGAACTGCTAGCCTTCTGGTTAGCAGTCATATGCTTTAGGCACTGCACCACCAGAGCTCTTTAGATCTAGTAGAGACTCCTTTTTTCTCTGATCAGTTACTCCCCCTCCTCCACAGATTATTTAGTATTTACTTACCACTGCACTCCTATCCTTGCTGTGTCCAGAAGCAGAATCAGAAAAGCACTAGGCACCTTCATGGTATATACATTGTGTTTATGGGAAGAGGTCTTTAGGTAGTGAGTGAGTAAGTGAAAATCAGAAGCAGACAGAAAGAGACCTGAGATAAAAATAATGTGGAAAGTCACAAAGGATGACTGTAGTCTGTGACAAACAAAGCAGGTGGAAGAAGTTGAAGTGATTAACATTCAGGGCTAGTATCTTATTTCTCTGACTCCCAAGCCAATGTTTTCATGATAGCTTACTGCCTTCCTGGTTGAATGTAAGTGTGAGAATCTCCAAGATCCTGTGCTTTTCACCTCTCACCCTCCCCAAATTTGGAATCTCTGTCAGTGATTTATATCTATTCTATATTTAAAATATATATATATATATCTAAATACTTACCAGCTAAATTGTTTTAATAAAAACCGTACACTAGTTTGGGCAAATTTACATTAATTTTCATTAAAATTCATAGTAAAATTTTATAAATATTCCATGAATTTAGGAGGATCACAAGTTTTTATGATAAATTAGACTTTCAGATCTTTATATGGTTGGAGGAGATGGACTTGAACAATAAGGAGCCAGTGAAGATGACACTAGAATATTGAATTGGTGCCATTTGCTCATGTTCTTACTGTCAGTCTTGGCTACTGGGTTCTTTTATGTGATTACAGATCCTTTAGATTTAGGGAAGCGAGATAGAGAAATAAGTTGCCATTAGGTAGAAGGCCAATGTCAGCCCTACCAACTAAAGCCATCTCATTTATCTGAATGGAAATGAGAAAATGTGAACTAAGTAAATTTCCCATGAATGCAATGGAGGTTCTTAAAAACTAAATTCAAGTCCTTGGCTCTCTATTATTACAGTTATCAATCAAGACATAGAATTTGGGAAAGAGCACACTCACAACTGAATTTTAAGAGAAATGAAAGATGCTGTAACAGGGCAAATAAAAAATTGAACCCTTTTTATTTTGTCTAGAACCTCTAATACCGATTAATTACGTCTAATAAATTTCTAGATAAAATGGACTCCTTGTATCTATGAATGTATTCTGGAAATAGAGAAGAGTTAAAAGTAAGGCAGTCCAGCAGATCATCCTTAATCAATGTCTACATAGTTGGAAGACTTCCCTCTGCTCTGGTCAAATGAGCTCTGATTAAGAAAGATTTAGATATAGAGCCACTGGGTTGAAAGGGACCTCTAAGGTGATCTCATCCAGACTTCTAAATACCTTAAAGAGGGTCTTCTACAACAGTTCTGTCGATGGTTATATGGCTTCTGTCTGGAGAAGTCTGCCTTGAATTTACAGTGGCATGTTAAGGTGAACTCCATCTTGGTACTTTAGTCCTCTGCAAGTTAGGGTGGGTGGTGAGGAGTTTGAGAAATGCCACCTCTTCTAGCATTTGTATAACCTTAATGGTGCCATTACTTCTTCCTTCTGTGCGTCTTTTTCCTTTCTAACCAACCCTTCCCAGCCCTGAGCTTCTACTGTTAATGAGGGATACTAAAAACCAAAGAAATTCCTACTAGTTATACAGACCAGCACACTCACAACTGAACATTGTTGCCTGAAAATTTATTTATTCAACAACAAATATTTGAGTGCCATACTTTGTTCTTGGGATCCACTTGTGAACAAGATGGCCAAGGTCCCTGCTGTCAGGCAGGAGGAAAGGAGATAGGAATGAAGAAAGAAGTAACCGTCTTTCAAGCTGCTGCTGGAAAATAGACTCTTCCTTTGTCCCTTGGGAATCTTCTAGGCCCTTTCACCACTTCTCACCTCTCACCCACATTTTAGACTCAGCTGAAGCGGCCAAAGGACAAGCTTCTTAGCAGAGCTTTTAGGCACAGAGCCCTATATTCCCTTTGGCCCAAAGCCACTATTCCAAAGGCTTAAAACTGCCCTTTGGCCCAGATTTCTCTTGAGACACAACCTCATGGATAATTTGTCCTGAGTCTTGAAGTGAGGGCAGAGACCACTTCTTTAGCTATTTTCCTTCCTCTCCACTTTATATTTCAAAAGTTTAGATTGGATAAACTATAAACCAAACCCACTGCCACTGAGTTGATTCTGACTCAGTGACCTTATAGGGCAGAATAGAACTGCCCCATAGGGTTTCCAAGGCTGTAAATCTTTATGGAAGCAGACTGCCTTATCTTTCTCCCACGGAGTGGCTGGTGGGTTCCAACCATTGACCTTTTGGATAGCAGTCCAATGCTTTAACTACACAGTGCCACCAGGGCAGATTGGATAAGTACTAAATGTATCACATATTTATTACACCTTTTAGAGGCTCCTGGCTTGACTCCTCCCTTTCTTGACCTCTCATTCCCTGTATTTTATATCAGAGGTACAGAATTTATCCTCAAGGCTCTAGCATAAAGCACTATGTCTCCCCACCCCCTGCCTCTTTCCCGTTACCTACAGCATACAACTTAACAAAAGGGTCAACAATAGATACAGTTCTACCAACAACAAGGAAAATAAGTTTTGTCATCCTACTCTTCATTTTCACTGCCTGGGAAACCCAATGGGGGTTGCTATGAGTCAGAATCGACTTGATTGAAGTGGGTTTGGTTTTTAGTTTGATTGCTCTTCATTTTAAGAGGCACAGTCCTTCATCTTTGAAGCGAGGAACTAAAAAACTTGGGCTCTTGCCTAATTTCTTGCTAAAGAAGGGATGAGAGATGATAGATCTTTGTTGTCTGGGTAATATTGATCAGTAATAGAATCTTGGTCAACACTATCACTTCACCAGACATATGACAACAAAAATCAAGTTGATTCACCCACTGCACATTCTGGTGGGATCTTAGGCCAGATAAAGTTGAGTAAACGTTCTCAAACTCTAAACTGCTATCTCAATGACTGGATTGCAAAGACTGAACTTCCTGGTCTAATTCTCTTTTTCACTGAGGAATCTTATCTTCATAGTTAAAGTGTAACACATTCAAGTGAATTCTGGACTTAAATTTTACTGTTAAAATTCACTCTTGTGCAAATAGGACTACATGCACAAATAATTTGGCACAAAAGGTTTGACAGAGGCTCTCTCTACTTTTGTATTTATATGTGATGCAAATATACCCATGAATGTTATAGAGCATACAATGGACAAAGTTATGAAAAAGCCTTAATCATAACCAAATACCTTGAGGAAATGAGTCACTGGTATGGCGGCTCAGGACCATAGTCTCAGGGAACACTAAGGTCAGTTGGCCTAGCAGTCCACAAAGACAATGTTCTACATTCTACTTTGGTGAGTAGCAACTGGGGTCTTAAGAGCTTGTGAGCAGCCATTTAAGGTGCAACTATTAGTCTCTCTCCATCCAGAGTAAATCAAAGATGCAGGAAACAATTAGTCCAAAGGACTAATGTAGTACATGAACCACAGCCTTCATGATTCAGACCAGAAGAACTAGATGGTCCTCAGCTACTATTGCTACCACTCTGAAACAGATCACAATAAAAGGTCCTAGATATAGTAGGGCGAAATGTAGAACAAGACTCAAAATCCTAAAAAAGACCAGGCTTACTGGTCTGATGAAGACTGGTGGAGCTCTCGAGACTATGGTCCCTAAACACCCTTCAAGTTAGGAACTGAACTTAACCCCTGTGACTCAACTGTCAGCCAAACGACATGCCTATAAGGTGAACAGTAATACCGGGAGGGTATGCATTCATTAAAACAATCAAGCATATGAGATCAAGAGGGCAGCATTTGCCCAGGGTTAGAGCTAGGAAGACAGGAGCAGATGGGAAGGAAGGACAAAGGGAAGAGGTAGGCTTAGAGAGGAAGTGGGAAGAATGCTGTTACAGCATGGGGATTGTAATAAATATCACAGAATGTGTGTGGATTGTTGAAAACCAATTGGCTCTGTAAACTTTCACTCAAATTGCAATTAAGAAGGAAAAAAAAAAAACACTCTTGTTAGTAAATAATAAAGGAAAGAAATAGGTTGAAAACTGTCCCACAGGACCCTCTAGTTTAGAAAGGAACTAAAAATTACAGAATTACATAGAAGTTTTGAGTTTGAGTTTTAGTCATATATCTCAGCATCTTCCTGGGAGAACAAGTTTTTGAGAATTGGGAGCCATAAATATGTTGCACAAATGATATTTCATAGCTCTGGAATAATAACTCCTCAGAGCCTAGATCTTTTTCAGCTTTGTGATCCACCTCCATGTCAGCTAAATCTTCTTGCAAAAGTTAGGATATGCCCAAGAGACCCTGGGTCAAATAACCATGGCAACCAACTAACCCAGCTTTCTCTTCCTCTCTGCCCTCCTCTATCTGGGAGGTGTTGGTCACATTGCCCAAGACTCCCCGGAGCAACTGGAATTGTTACTGCCTGAGGACATTCTCCTGATTGGGACTCTGTGGAGTGAGGAGGCAGTCACCTGGAGTGAGTGTGGGAGCATCAACTGTGGAAGTCCTGGAGCATCCTCCTTGGGTTATTTCTAAGAGTTAAAGGGAAAAAGTTGAGGGTAAGAATCTGGTAAGGGTCTCCTGGGAAGTTTTATTAGGGGTGGGAAAGTCTGCAGGAAACCACTGAGGGAAAGATTGTTCAAGGCAAATGACTAGAGGTGTAGAGTAGACATTCTGGGGCCACAAACTTTTCTAGGATATAGGTGAAATAGCTGCTTTTAAGAGAGGAGCCCTGGTGGTGCAATGGTTAAGTGCTCAGATGCTAACTAAAAAGTTGGTGGTTAAAACCCAATGGCCACTCTACAGGAGAAAAGACCTGGAGATCTGCTCCCATAAAGATTTATGGAAAATCTATGGGGACAGTTCTACTCTGCCCTACAGGGTCACTATGAGCCAGAATTGACTCAATGGCATACAACAACTTTCTCACATGGTTCAGCTTAGCGGGAAGGACTAGCAGATATGCTTGCTTAGAAGGAACTAGACCAGAGCTTTTTCATTAAAAACAACAACAGAACTATTAAAGCTGAAACTTGTTACTTTAATCACCGTTGGACCCTCATTTAAGAGCCCTAAGACTTCCTCTAAAGCCTTTTATCTCCTATGGCTACCTTCATTCTTCACTTCTTACCCTGAACCCTTGCAAGAAACATCTGTCCTAACAAGTGGATGTCGAGCAACTCAACCACGTGGGACTTTAAGAAGTGACCTCTTGTCTGTGACATTCACCCTCCAACCTATGTTTTCTATTCAGAGAAATTGAGATCTCAGGCAGCCTGGGCCCAGTTGGTGGCTATGAGAGGTAGGGAACTGTCCCTGTGGATCTCAAGCCTGTGGGCTTTCTGATGGACTTGGGACCCTCTGCTTTGCAGCTTGAAGAGCTGGTATGGCAGTCAACAAGAGTTCAACCATGCTGGATGAAGACCTCCCTGTAAGTAACTTGAGCTTATATGAGAAAGGGGATGGACAATTTAAAGAGGAGGAAGGAGCAAGCAAGAAGGAAAGGTTCTGGGGGTTAGGTCAAGATATGTCTAGATTATGTTCTCTAGCTCATTAGCTTTCATATCTTGTTTTAGTTATTCTTACCCTCACTACCTTCTGCAAGGGGCTTTTGGAGGCTCTGAAAAGCAAATGATGACTATTAAAAACTAAGCATCTTGGAGAAAAAGAACCGAAATACTGGTGATAGGAGAATGGAGATGGAGGGAACTACTGTGTTCTAAAAACCGTGTTGAAAGCCTGGGCTCTGTCCACCAACCCAGGCTGAATATATATTTGATTATATTAATACAGAGCCTTATTATGATCCTAGGGGCATTATTCAAATTGTAGTCTGTATAAATGGCAACTACTGCGGTTACATGATGCACAGGCAGTGGGTAGGAATGGGTTGAGAGTTCAATGTATCTAGTATTGTATCTTTGACCCGGTTTTCACTATGACTGGGCCTGGTTTTTGACACTTTTAGGTATGCCTAATGCCTCTTGGCAAAGCCTCTCTGATTCTGACACAGTTCAAGTAATTTGTGAAACTTAAAAATTGTGAACTCACACAATACCCCTATTGTCCCAAGTTAGGCCTTAACTAATCTTTACACTAGAAAATGCTGTGTTAGGCTGTGAATTGAATTACAGAATACAGAGAGGCATAAAAGGTCAAATGCATCTAAACAGATAGACTTCCCTTCCCAGGATACCTCTTTCCCCCCTTGGCTTTCTCTAAACAATTTCTGAAGCTCTCTCCAAAATGTTAAAACTATTTTCTTGTTTACATTCAGTCTTTTTCTAGTTCAGATTTTAAATTTGCCAACAGGATAAAAAGTTAAAATATTGTCTGGAAGGTTGAGCAATCCTACTTCCGTAGTGATACTTCCTCGGAAACCCAAGGAGGGGTCGCTATGAGTCGGGGCCGACTCGACGGCATATAACAACAACAACAACAACATACATATGAGTCTCCCTGATGCTAACTCAGCTCCTAAAAACAGAACAGCCTAGCTTCTTTCCTCCACAGCAGTGCCATATTCAAAACTACATAGAGGTCTTGAGCTTCTGTCAGACCTGAGGAGTTTTCTCTTTTTACTTTTTATGAAAAGAACTCTGAACATTCATGAGAGTAGACAGAACATAATGAATCCCTATGTACCCTTCACAAGCCCCAAACTATCTTTAATCCATAGCCAATCCTGCCTCATCCTCACCCTGTCTACTACTCCTCACCTTGTATTATTTTGAAGCAAATACCAGATATCATGTGATTTCAAACCTGAGTTGGAAGCCATTTACTAGCTGTGTGATCTTGGGTAAGTCACTTACCATCTCTGAGTCTGTCTCCTCACCAGCAAAGTGGTAGTGATAAGTCTGACCTAAAAGAGTTGCTGTTAGAATTAAATGAAGTCATGTCCTCAAGGCACCCAGACCAATGTCTAGAGCATAACACCTAGAAAATGTTGTTTCCCTCTGCATGACTAGAATCCACATTCTTTTACTCAAAGACCAGTGTTTTTTCACTAAGATTCCTAGATGGCCTGAATTTTAATTATGTGACTGCTGCTGAAATTAAAATGCATTCATAAGAGCACAACATGCTAATAATGAATGATGAGAGTCTCATTATATCCACATCCTTAGACCACACCTAGAGCACTGTCTTCAAGTTTGAGTACTAGGTTTTTAAGAAGACACCTGACTGCAATGAGTCCAGAAGAGGAATCACCAAACCAGGATGGTTTGTCAACTAAGTTAGGAACTAGAACTATTTAGCATGGAGAAGGGCCTTGAAATATGTGAAGTGCCTACTCATGAATGATGAACTAGATTAGCACAGGGTTGTTCCAAAGGTCAGAGTGTGGAACAGTGGGTGGAGGCAGATTTCAGCTTAGCAAAACTGTCCAACTAGAGGTATAGGTCACTCTATGAGGAGTGAGCTCCCATCAAATGAGGCATTCAAATAGAAGTCTACCAGAGAACCCGTGGGAAGGATCCTTGTTGCAGTGTCCCCTGAAAGCCTAAGATTCTGTGATTTGGTGCAGTCAGGCAGATCTAAACTTATACATTCTAGTACCCCAGACTGTGATGCATGTATTCACCTACATTACTGTGCCAGGCTTTATGCTAGGCATTGGGAATACAGAGACGACAAGGACTCAGAGTGTGCCTAAAGTACACCAGTCAACTGGAAGAGTCAGACAAGTACACACATAATCACAGCAGAGTGTGACAAATGTAGAGACAGCTCAGGAAAGGAAGTGGTGGCTGTGACGGAGAGTCAGAAAGCCCCCATAGGGGAAGTCATGGTTAACTTGTGTCCTCAGGGAATGGCATTTCACCAGGCAGAAAGAACTGTGAGAGGAAAGGTGAGCATTCTGGGCAGTGGGGCCAGCATACACAGGCAGGGTGGCAGTATCCTAGAAAGGCCAGAGAAATGTTTAGCTAAATTGCCTGAATCACCAATCTATGGTGGACTAAAACTCTGGATGGTACATTGTCAACACTTGCTCTCTACCAATATGTTTAAGTGTGTGGATTAGAGCCTTTGTGGTGGGCTGGGGCTTAACTTGGCGCCCGGAAGACAGATTGCCTCTTCAGCTCAGGAGAGCCTGGATTTGAGCCAGGAGAGCATGGCAGACTGGCTCTCTCTTTACCTTGTGGGTGCCCCCCGCCTTGATTGGAGCATCCAGAGATCTCTCTGGCCTTGGTTCCTCCCAGGTCACTGGACTCAGCCCAGCCTCACCAATGGATTCTGTGAACATGGGGCTGCCCTTTTGGGTGGGGAAGAGGGAGATGAGATGATTTCTCCCTTCCTTCCTTCCATGCCAGGAACAGGAGAATGTTTTACAGAGGGTCCTGCAGCTGCCTGTGGTGAGTGGTACCTGTGAATGTTTCCACAAGACCTACACCAGCACCAAGGAAGCCCACCCCCTGGTGGCCTCTGTGTGCAATGCCTACGAGAAGGGCGTGCAAGGCGCCAGCAACTTGGCTGCCTGGAGCATGGAGCCTGTGGTCCGCAGGCTGTCCACTCAGTGTGAGTCTGTGTGATACTTGGCTGGCTGCCTGCTTGTTCACTGATGCTCACTCCTGCTTGCTGGTCTGTCTGATCTCCTGAGAACTTGCTTGTGTGTCTGCCTATGTACCTGCCCATCTGGCTATTTACATGGTCTTTTAAGGCATCTGTAGCTCAGCTGGCATTTTCCTAGCATGGTAATAATGAGCAAAGAATTGACAGAGGGAAAGAGTGAGCAGAGATGTATGAGTGGGATCCCAGTGGGAATCTCCAGTCTATGAGCCTGTTTAAGCCAAATGCTGCTGCTGGTGGTGCAGCAGCAGCAGCAGCAGCAGCAACTAGCAGAAAAACTCCACCAAACTCACTGCCATCAAGTCGGATCCTACTCATAGCGACCCCTCCTTGGGTTCCTGAGGCGGTATCACCTCAGTTCTAGGGCCTGGACAAGCTGTGACTGGGAGTTTGTCACCCCCAGATGTAAAGCCCAGGCCTGGCCTCAATAAGGTCCAATCCCAGGGCCCTACTGCCCCCACCTCCCACACTCACACCTCCATTCTCCTTCTCCCTAATGCCCACCCAGAACCCTAGAGCCAGAGGAGAAGAAGAATGACCTAGTGTCCATCCAGAACCCTAGAGCCAGAGGAGAGGGAGAATGAGAGAGACCAGTATCTGTTGGTAATTTACACAATTTCCATCTCTTCCTTCTAACAACAAGCCTGCAAAGTAGGCACCATTATCCATGTTACCACTGAGGAACTTGAGGCTCTGCCAGGCTGTGACTTGCTGGAAACCATACACTGCAGTGTGGGTGCTTGGCTTTGAGTGCAGGTGTGACTGCCTCCAGAGTTCCTACATGATGGAAAAATCTGGCCCTGGTCTCAAGGAGTCACAGTGAATGGGGAATAAAGATGGCAAAAGGCCTCAGGTTCAAAGATGCTTTGGAGGCAGCAGGGCATGGGGATTTGAGGGCTGCAAGGTCCCTTCCTTGGCCCAGAAGGTACTGTGAAGTTTTCATAGTTGTGTGCAGGACTCACTCCAACATGGCCCTTTGCTTTTAAGTCATAGCAGCCAATGAGCTGGCCTGCCGAGGCCTGGACCACTTGGAGGAAAAGATCCCTGCCCTCCAGTACCCTCCTGAAAAGGTAAGCCCCTTCCTTCTTGTCCCCCTCCCCTACACTGTGCTGTCACTGCCTTCTCTTCAGCCCCGCTCAGGGGAGGAGGGGGTGGGAGCATGACTCCACTTTCTTTGCTCTGACAAATGCCCGGAAAGACTGGAGGAGGCTGCCTGCCCTCAGGGTCACAGGATGAGCTTCTTCCTGCAGAGCCAAATAAAGACAGGGTTTCTGGGATCAGTAGGCACAACCCTAGAGGAAACCTAAACAGGAGCATGGGGTTGGTCCCACTGCCTCCCAGTACTCATCCCTGGTATCTGGGGCTCTGTGGGCTTCCATTGGACTGCTGGGTGACTACAGCCCTTTAAGGTCATGGGCCACACTTGTCAGGATCCCCAGGATAAACCCTTTATGGATTGAGACTGTCACTTCAACTGGGTATATATTTAGTGAGTAGTTGCCATGGATGCAGGCCCATGCTAGGTGTTTGGAAGAGTAAGTGTCAGTCCCTGCCCCATCCATCTCACTGACTACCTACACTCCCACAACATTCACTGAGGCCTGCCCTATGCCAGGTGCTATCACATGCAACTTATAGAACCTCTCATTTTATGCTCTTAATCAACCCTCTGGGATAGGGGTGGTGATCCCCATTTCACAGAGGAGAAACCTAGTGACTGGCTATACAGCCTTAAGTAGAAGCCACACAAGTACAGGTCTACTTGGCTCCAAAGGCCTGTGCACTTCACTTCCCATTTTCCCAGACAAAAGACAATTTCTTTGTCACATAGGAGCTCCCAGACTAATAAGAGAGAAAGACAAGTACATTATTTTAATGCAGAAGTTATACCAAAAGTAAACCAATTGAGTCTGTTGTGACTCATAGTGACCCTATAGGACAGAGTATAAGTGGCCCATAGGGTTGCAGAACTTATGTTGTTATGTGCCATCAAGTCGGCCCCAACTCATAGTGATCCCTCCTTGGGTTTCTGAGGCAGTTATCACTAAGGAAGGAGATTGCCCAGCCTTCCTTCGGAGAAGTGGTTAGTGGGTTTGAACCTCCAGCCTTCTGGTTAGCAGTCAGATGCCTTAGGCACTATGCTACCAGAGTTCCTGCAGAACTTATAGGAAAGTAAAATGCATCCATACCAAAAAAACTAAACCCTTGCTGTTGAGCTGATTCCAACTCAGCAACACTATAGGACAGAGTAGAACACCCCATAGAATGTCCAAGGCTGTAAATCTTTATGGAAGCAGACTGCCATATCTTTCTCCTGCAGAGCAGCTGGTGGGTTCAAATTGTCAACCTTTTGGCTAGCAGTAGAGTGCTTAATCACTGCATCATCAGGACTCCAGGGCCTCCATAAATCAATACAAATATGATGGGCATATAGTCTTGTGTTCTGAGGGAAGGATGGGATACACTACAGGAATTTGGAAGAGGAGATGCCTGTGTGCATGAGGGTCAGGACAGACATCATCAAGGAGGTAGCCTTTGGAGTTATCCTCACAAGATGAATGAGGCCTTCTTGGAAACTGGGCTCAGGGCCTGAGATCCTGAAGGGCAGCTCTCCTAGGGCCTGCAAGACCAATATGCCTGACCCTCCACCCCCCAGATCGCCTCTGAGCTGAAGGATACCATCTCCACCCGCCTTCGAAGTGCCAGGAACAGCATCAGTGCACCCATCGCAAGCACTTCAGACAAAGTCCTGGGGGCTGCTCTTGCTGGCTGCGAGCTTGCCTGGGGAGTGGCCAAAGACACAGCTGAATTTGCTGCCCACACCAAAGCTGGCCGGCTGGCCTCTGGAGGGGCTGACTTGGCCCTGGGTGGCATTGAAAAGATGGTAGAGTTCCTCCTTCCTCCAGCCAAGGAAGAGTCAGGTACTTACTATTGAGGGGTCAGGGCAGAGAGACCGACCCTGAGGGAGTGAGTTGGCCACCCAGACTGCCTTGGAATCACAGGAGGCAGCAAGTGCTCACCCGGCCACAGCTCTGGGCTCTGGAATAGGGAAAACCCAATGGGGTTTTCAGATGGATCCATAATCATTTAGCCCCTTCCTCCCATCTCTAAGTGGGGAAAATGAGCTGCTCAATCACTGGTGGGTTTGTGGTGAATTAGGGTCCTGCTTTCCAGTTCTAGATACAACCCAGATTTCCCTAGCCCCTCTTTGATCTGTTGTCCCTTCTTTCCCTCAAACCCCTACCCAGCCCCTGGTCCTGGACACCAGCAGGCCCAGAAGCAGCCTCCCAAGGGCAAGCCAAGCCTCCTGAACAGGGTTGGGGTCCTGGCCAATACCCTCTCTCAGCACACCTTCCAGACCACAGCCTGGGCACTGAAGCAGGGCCACGCTGCAGCCATGTGGATCCCTGGTGTGGCACCCCTGGTGAGTATTGGCTCTGAGCTCTGTCTGACCCCCTGGTGGTCCTGTGGACAGCTTCTGTCTCCTGATCCCTACCATCCTGACTCAGCTCCCTCTCCTGCACTGGAAATGTTCTCTCTGCCAATATGGGCTGGGAGTTTAGGTCTAAAGACAAGAGGCCTTAAGAGGGAGTGGAGGAGATTATAGGAGAATAGAAGGGCAGTGTATGCACACGGAGGCAGCTGCAGGGCTGGCAGGAGTACATGGGAGGGAAGGACAGGGAAGAGGTATCTGTGACGAAGTGGGAAGAGAGCTGTTGCACTGTGGGAAATTGCAGTCAATGTCATGAGACAAAGTATATGTGAAATGCTGTATGGAAAATGAATTTGCTCTGTCAACTTTCACTCAAATAGCAATTAAAAAAAAAAAAAAATGCAGTGCAAGGCTCATCCCCTAGGCTACAGGGGAAGAGAAAGGACAGGGCAAGAGCTTAGACAGGTTTACCTTGCCAGATAGAATGCCCACTTCCCTAGTTTACATGCCCCCAAGTAGGTCTCTCACTGTGGTTGCTTAACTTACGTGGAAGCAGCAACTCATCTGCTGTTGCTCTTCAGGTATAACTAAGGAGTGTCACCCTTAAATAAACAGCAAAAAACCCATCATGTCGGGGAGAGTGCACCACCTGGGCTCGTGTCCCTGACTTCCCCCAGCTTTCTGATTTTCCCTCCAGAGTCTTCTAAATTCTATCCCCATTTCATCCAAGGTAAAGCTGCCTTTTCTAGGCCCAGGCAGGGTTAACTCCCCATGCCTGCCCCCACTTCTCTATGTACTTTAGCAGAGATCGGCTGGGTGTGTTTCACAAGGAGCTTTTTTAAGAAACTAAGTCCAAAAAAAGGAAATAAAGACAACATAAAAATTTGGCAAACAAGGTGACTGCTTTTCAGCCATCATTTGGATGATATTTTTAAAAGCATCATCAAGCTTGGATCATTCATTCAAGTATAGCTTGGGAACATACTATGTGCAGGTGCTTGGCTCCACTAGGGAAGCAGGACTAGTAGTTTCCCTCTGTCCTCTATTCCTTTATTTTTGGCCAGCACAGAGGATCATTTACCAGTGGAAGCCAAGACTAACATCATGCCCTACCCTGTCCCATGGTGGGTAGAGTCCACTGTGTGACATAACCTCAGGAGGCACCATCCACATAGCGTATAATGGGGGCTCCTAAAGTTGTATCACACAGAGGCCTTGTTTGTGGGGGTACCTAGAGGTGTTGAATGACCCAAGCTGTGCCTCCAGGAACAGCAGCCTATTTGCTCAGGTCAATTTCCTCCCATGGGGACACTTGATTTTTTTTTTTTACCTTTAAAGATCTGGGAGGGATATCTGCTAAAGCTAAACATACATATACAGTGTAACCCAGCAATCCCACTCCTTGATGTAAACTCAATAAAAACAAACACTTATGTCCCCCAAAAGACAAGTAGGAAAAAAGGCAAACGTCACCTTTATGTAGCCAAGACCTACAAACAGCACAAATGTCCATTAACAATAAAATGGATAAATGAATAGTAGCATAACCATGCAGTGGAATATTACACAGCAATGGAAAAGAAGCAACTACTTCTATATGCAACACATGGGTGAATCTTACAACATAATGTTGAACAAAAGAAACTATTTATGAAAAAATCTATGTTGTATGATTCCATGTATACAAAGTTCAAAAATACCCAATACTAATCCATGGCTATAGAGGTCAGAATTCTGGTCACCTTTTGGGGGGGTTATTGACTGGGTGGGGGCACAGGGAATCTTCTGGGTGTTAGAAACAGTCTATATCTTGATCTGGGTGGTCACTTCACAGGTGTGCATTTGTAAAAAATCATGGAGCTGTACACTAAAGATGTGCACACTCTGGTATATTTAAGTTCTCACTCAATGAAAAGTTTAAGAAAAGTCCACTGGGTCCAGGCTTTGCTCCTCTCCAGCCCAGGCCCTGGAGCGAGGAGCTTTGGCCACTGGGGCTGCCTGCCTTCTGCAGGGGCTATGAAGCTAATGGTCCTTCCCACCCTCAGAGCAGCCTGGCCCAGTGGGGTACATCAGTAGCCATGCAGGTAGTGTCCCGACGGAAGAGTGAAGTACGGGTGCCCTGGCTGCACAACCTTACTGCCACCCGGGAGGAGGACCACAATGACCAGACAGACACAGAGGGGGAGGAGACAGAGGAGGAGGAGCAGGAAGTGGAAGAAGAGGAGACTGAAGAGAAGCTCAATAAGGTGAGAGAGACAGCAGGAGCTGAGTGGAGAATGCAGGAGCCTAGAGGTCCCACATCCCGTGGTGGGGGTGGGGGTGAGAAGCAGAGGCACAAGGTGAAGCAAGAATCTCTGACCCAAGGACATGGTGCATGGGTGCAGTACTCTTCACCCCACCACAGGCATCTAGCTAACAAAGCACTTCCATGTCATTCTCCCAGTTGAGCCTTGAACAGCCCTATAAGATAGGCAGAGCAGAAATTACTGTCCCTGTTTTGTAGATAAAGAAACTGAGGTTTGGAGAGGGAAAGTAACTTGCCCAAGGCCACATAGCTAGTCAGGCCTACAGGGGTCCAGTTTTTTCAATTTGAGGTCCACATTCTTTCCCCCATAGCTCTGGGGATGGTAGTTGGGGCAGGGGGCCTGGGAGTTGCTGCAGGAGGTGCTGACCCTGCTCTGCCCCCAGGTGGCAGCCCTGCCTAGCCCAAAAGGCCTCCTGGGCAATGTGGCACACACCATGCAGATGGCCCTCCAGAGCACCATCTCGGCCGTGACGTGGGCACCTGCCACTGTGATAAGCATGGCAGGGAGGTTGCTGCACCTCACACCTGCTCGTGTTGTCTCCTCAACCAAGGGGAGGGCCATGTCCCTGTCAGATGCCCTGAAGGGCGTTACTGACAACGTGGTGGACACGGTGGTGACCTATGTGCCGGTGAGTCCCACCCCGGGCTAACTATCCCTTCCCCTTGGTACTGGATGGGAAAAGATAAAGTAAATTTGGCTAAAGGGACTGTAGTCCCCATCCTTTCCCTAGCCCCCTTGAAGACCCTCCTACAATTTTCAGTGACTCAGAAACACTCCGACATGCTGTGGCCTTCACTGTGTCTGAGGCCTCTCCCAGCACCAAGAGTATAGAAGCCCAAGGCTTCTCCCAGGGGTTATTCCCCCTTCTTCTCCCCACCTGCTGGTGGAGAAGTCTCCTGCCATCAGCCTGAGGGTCCTCAGTGTCTCAGTTTGCATGCTGCTTCCTGGGAAGAGGTTGGAGGGAGGCTTCCAGGGAATGCTGAGAGGTGAGCCAGAAGTCCCAGGGGACAGTAGCTGTACCATCCCAATTCTATCCCCAACAGAAAAACCCAAAGGATGCCCATACCATCTCTTAGGGAGCCTTTGGGCTCCTTCCCAGAGCAAGCCCTAGGTCTTACAGACTCTAGGAGGGTTGATCAAGACAAGAGACTCTGGTAGAGCTGGGGTGTGTGTGACTGAGTTGGTCAGTTACTTACTCTCCACTTCCTCCCACCAGGAGGCATGCCAGTGGTCTTGGGCAGTCAGTCTGTTCACTCTGAGCAGAGAGCCCCAAAACAGGTTGAGGAACGGATACCCTGCCATGGCCTTAGCAGTGTTCTGCTGTGCTCAGCCTGTAACTCTGGCCCCAGGTATGGGAGAAAGAGCCACTGTCCCCAATTGAAGGTCCCTCTGAAAAAGGTCCTCCAAACCAAACCAAACTCACTGCCATCTAGTCAATTCTGACTCATAGCAACCCCCACTGCATTTCCAAGACTAAATTATAGAAGCAGACTGCCTTATCTGTGGGTTCAAACCACCCACCTTTTGGTCATCAGCCAAATACTTTACACTACACCACCAGAGCTCCTTGAAAAAGGCCCTAGGAATCCAGAAACGTTGGCTGAAGCTTAGCTTGTCTTGCCTGTGGGATCTGGCTTGTGGAGACCCTGAGAGCGCCCCGACCCACCTGGAGGCCCCTGTCTCACACCCCAGCCTACCCTATGGTGGGCCTGAGAGAGATGACAGAGAGGGACCCAAGGGAGTGGCGGGTCGGAGGCATAGGAACGAAAGTCATCCGAGGCCTTAACGCGGCGGCGGCCGGGTCCTCAGCTTCCCAGGTTGTCGCTTATGGAGCCAGAGAGCGAATTCCGGGACATCGACAACCCACCGGACGAGGACGAGCGCCGGGGCTCCGGGACTCCAGCCACCGGCCCAGAGTCCCAGACGCGCCCGGCTCAGCCTCGCGGCAGCCTGCGCACCACACGGGGCCTGAGTGTGTCCGCTTGCTCGGGTGTGGACGACAAGCTGGAGAGCGCAGCCGGGCCGCGCCCAAGTTTCCCGACAGTGCCCCGCGAGAAGCCCACGCGCAGGGTCAGCGACAGCTTCTTCCGGCCCAGCGTCATGGAGCCCATCCTGGGCCGGGCGCAGTACAGCCATCTGCGGAAGAAGAGCTGAATCCGCGGCGCAAACCGCTGAGCTTCCTCAGCGGGAGACCCAGCGTGACCTCCACCCAGTGCACCAGGGCTATTTTCTCTAATGAATAAATAGAAAGTATATGTCCAAGAGAGCGTTGACTTGTTCAAAACAGGAGTCTCCAAACTCCAAGTTTCATTCCTTTGATGCTGCCTGCATCCTTACTGCCTTCCACCTGCATCTTCACCCTTCCATCTGCCTGTTGGATACTGGCACCCCCAGATGCTGTTGGGATGACAGTGGTGCCCTCTCATCCTATAGACTATATATCTACTCTATAACCACAGTTCATTCCAACTCTTGTTTTTTTTTTTTTAATGTTGTTGTTATTTGTCTCAAATTGGCCCCCAACTCATGCACAATGAGATTAGACCGTTAGGGTCCTAAGGGTTTTCATTGGCCGTTTTTCAGAAGTAGATCACCAGACCTTTCTTTCTAGTCTTTATTAATCTGGAAGCTCCACTGAAACCTGTTCAGCACCATAGGAACATGCAAGCCTTCATTGACAGAGAGGGTGGTGTTTGCCCATGAGGTGCATTGGCTGGAAATCAAAAACAGGTGTCATGTGAGAATTCTACCACAGAACCACAACTGCCTCCCCACTCCAGGCCCAAAGTGTTAAGATATGTGAAACCTATGAGATGCATAAATACAGTTTTAAAATTCAAACATCGCAAAAGGAGTTTCCCAGTTCCCCCCAGTACGCTAAAGAAGCAACCATAGAATCAGTTTCTTGTGTGTCCTTCCAGATACAGGCTATGCATGTACGAGCACATATTGTCTTTGTTTACACAAGCTGTAGCATGTTATACTCATCTGCTTTTTTCACTTAAATATGCCTTAGAGATCTTTTTGTATCAGTCCATATAAATCCTTGTTCTTTTTAATGGCCACATACTAAGTGCTTCATAATATGAATGTGCCCTAACTGATTTAGCCAGTTCCCTAATGATGGACTTTTAGCTTGTTTACGCTACTGCAAACAGTGCTACAATAAATGTTCTTATAAAAAATGTCTTTATGTACATGTGTAGGGTAAATTTGTAACTTGTAACCATGACAGGAGCTCTTGTGCCTTAGTGGATAAGGCATTTGGCTGCTAACCAGAAGGTCAGTGGTTCAATTCCACTGGCTGCTCCATGGGAGGAAGATGAGGCAATCTACTTCCATAAAGATTTATAGCTTTGGAAACCCAGTGGGGTCATTATGAGTTGGAATCTACTCAGTGGCAGTGGGTTTGGTTTGGTTTGTTTGTTTATCCGTGACATGCTGAGTGATAGACTATATACATTTAAAATGTTGAAAGATAATGCTAAGCAGCCTTCTAAACCAAATTCTATATGTATTGTTATTTTATTTACAGCTGCAGAAATGTACACCAATAACTATGCTACCATTATAAGTCCATTTGTTGTTAGTTGCTGTAGAGCCAATTCCAACTCATGGTGACCCCAATGAGTTACAGAGTAGAACTGCTCCATAGGGTTTTCTTGGCTGTAATCTTCACAGAAGCAGATTGCCAGGCCTCTTCTTCCATGGTGCTACTGGGTGAGTTCAAACTGGCAACTATTAGGTTAGCAGTTGAGTGCAAACTGTGCCACCTAGGGACTTCCTTGAGCCCATGACTTCAGGCCTGGGTGTGCAGAAATGCCCGGGTGTCCTGGACCTCTCCTACTCACAGTGCTTTCCTCCCAGGACTCTATACTCCTGGATGTCCTCTCCATTGTATCCTGGGCTCTTCTTGCTCAGCCATACCCCAGTAGGCAGAGATGCTGACCTCTCAGCAGCCCAGGGGAGCTGAGGCCTCGACAAGGCTGCAGCAAACACACCTGCTAGCCTGGCCCACATGCCTCACTTTGCCTTAGATCTTAGCCAGGGTGGAGAAGGACAGTATATGGAATAGGACAGCCCAGAATATAAACAGTTTAAGTCATACAAGTCTCTTTCATCACTAAAAATCCCTTGATTATGTAGCAAGGGATTATATATAATCCATATATATATATATATATATATATACACCCTGAGCCTGGCATCAGTATTTCTGAACACTTGTTGGCCAGAAATGAGAGCAAAGCAACTCCTCTAAATGGTAGATGTTTGCATCCTGCTCTAGGCTGGATGTGGGACTTTTCTCAGTTCTGGAAGGATCTCTTTGAGGAGCCTTATTGGCCCTGTGGATATGAAAGCATGTCCACACTATCTTTCATAGCTCTGAACTTTGGGGAAACCTCCACAGCATGTGCTTCACTTTGGAATGCCAAGTGTTCCTCTGCAGAGAAATATGCTGTCCCTTTTATTCCAGTTTACAAAATGCAACTCCAACTCAGTCACAGCTTTTGGAGATAGAAAAAGAACCATTATATTAAATGTAAAAAAATTTTTCCCTAGCAGAAAATAACATACAATTACTTCAATAAGGACAAAGAGGTGGCATCTTCTGACATCCTCTAACTTCACCATCAGCAGTCCAAGGCATATTCCTATGAGGACAAATGTGCCGCCACCCTCCAAACCTTTTCACCAATTCTGACACCAACTGTCCCTTCCACAGCACTCACTACTTCTCTACTGAGTTTGATAATTCCTTGCAATGGCCATGCAGAACTCACAGATAATACTTACAATTATAGGGTTTATTAGGGAAGTAAACTCACTGTCGTCGAGTTGATCCTGACTCAACAGTGACCTCTCCTTGGGTTTCTGAGGCGGTATCACTATGGAAATAGATTGCCCAATCTTCCTGCTGAGGAGTGGCTGGTGGGTTTGAACTGCCAGCCTTCTGGTTAGCAGTCAAATGCCTTAGGCATTACGCCATCAGAGCTCCTAAACCTTTTGACTGCTAACCATAAGGCTAGTGGTTCAAACCCACCAGCCACTCCTCAGAAGGAAGACTGGGCAATCTACTTCAGTATAGATACTGCCTCAGAAACCCAAGGAGGGGTCGCTGTGAGTTGGATCTGACGAGATGTCAGTGAGTTTGGATTTTTTGTTTTTTACCCAGTAATCTGGTGGGACTTACAAAAACCATGGCTAAAAAAGCCATACCAAGTAATTCACTGCACCACAATTATCTATCCAATTACTTACCACTTTCTTCTCCCTGGGTATTGGTAATGGTTTAGGCACTTGACTACTAACCAATAGTTGGTAGTTTGAGTCCATCCAGAGGTGCCTCAGAAGAAAGGCCTGGTGATCTACTTCTGAAAAACCAGCCATTGAGAACCCTGTGGAGTGTAGTAGCACTGTGAAACACAAGGGGGCACCATGAATTGGAATTGACTTAATGACAACTAGTTTGGTTTGGTTTGAATGTTGAAGGAGCATTAATTTTCAATCATTTCCAAAATAGTGCTCCAGCTAAGACTTCCAGTAATTTTAGTAACAAATAATGTGCATGTTGGGCCTACAAGGATAGGGCAAAAGTGGCTCCTTCTAAAATATCCAACCCAAAGTTTTAAAAATTACTTTAGATTTACAGAAAAGTTGCAGATAGTACAACTATCTCATAAGCTCTCATATGCCCCTCACCCAGTTCCCCCTACTGTTAACATCTTACATTGCCCAGTCACAACTATTCCTTCCCTTTGCCAATGATTAGTTCTGGCATGAACAGGCCTGAGTTGTGTGGTAATATGAGATGTGATGGAAAACCACTGGTAGGGTTCAAAGGAAGAGTTTTCCTTGATCTAAAGAGAGTGCTACATGTCACAAAGCTGTCTTCCTCCTCTGGTGGTTTTGTGTCTGAAGGTGATGGTTCTGACAACACCAAGAAAGGCAGAGGGGAGAGATGGATAGGCCAGGATCCTTGGTAATGTTGCCACTGACTCAACCTGCCCCAGAGCCCTCCTCGCTCTGGTCCCCCTGTTTGTTGTTGTTATGTGCCTCCAGTCGGACCTGGCTTGTAGCGACCCCTCCTTGGGTTTCTGAGGCGGTATCACTACAGAAGTAGATTGCCCAACCTTCCTGAGGTTTGAACTGCCAGCTTTCTGGTTAGCAGTCAAATACCTTAGGCACTAAGCTACCAGAGGTCTCCCTGTTAGTGAGATAGCAAATGGCCTTATTGTTCAAGTCACTTCAAGTTGCGTTTTCTGTTACTTGAGGCTAAGGCTTTCCCAACACAGATTTATCCAGAGCGATATGGCTTTCAGTTATATTATTTTTCTATGACAGGCAATCTTCTGTATACATAATAAGTTAAATTTCATGACTACATTAGAGTTCAATTTTTCTAAAGACATTTTAAATGACAAATATGTTTTCAGATTTTAATTAAAATCCAACCATGCATGATGTTCCCGATACATACAATCCATCAGAGGTCACAAAGATGAAGACTATTTCCTTAAGGCTGTGTGTGGACAGCCCCATATCACTTCTGCCTCTATGGGGGTGAAGTTTCCCTTGACAATGTAAAGTACAACTCAATTTCAGAAAAGTGAGAAAATGTGAGTCTTTTTTAATCTGGGAAGATGGACATTTCCATTTTGGGGAGGGGGAAGGTAGAGACTAGGAGTGGAAAATAGAAATGGGAGAAGAAGGGACCCTGAACTGTGAACAGAATTGTGTGGTACCCCCCAAAAAATGTACTGTGCTTACCTGTTTCTTCTGTACTTCTGTGCTGTTTGTTTATTTTTTTAAATTGGCATGTATTTACAGTGTATTAATAATCATAGACAAAAGGCTGATCCCCTAAATGTGAAAGTAGTTCACATCCCCCGCTTTCCCACTTCTCCATCTCTGACCCCAGCCACCCACATGATGTTTTATCTCTTTCTGACCCTAACCACCCAGAGTTAGGTCTTTACAAAATTACTTCCTGCACTGCTCTCTTTAGCCAACCAGCTACTCAAAGCTGAGTCCTCACAAGTTAGGACACCATCGTTCTAATCAACTGCCACATAGACAGACACCAGGTACCACTGGCCATCACAGCCCTTGTTAGCTCTTATAACTCAATAGAATGACTCACAGAACTCACAGAAAGGGCTATACTCACTTAAAAAACAAACAAACAAATTTACTGCCGTGGAGTCCATTCGACTCATAGCCACCTCGTCTTGGGTTTCCGAGGCGGTATGAAGATTGGGCTTCTGTAGTGACACTGCCTTGGAAACCCAAGGAGGGGTCGCTATGAGTCAGGTCCGACTCCACGGCACATAACAACAACAACAATTTCTACAGAAGTAGATTGCCCAATCTTCCTTCTGAGGAGTGGCTGGTGGGTTTGAACCGCCAGCCTTCTGGTTAGCAGTCAAGTGCCTTAGGCACTACGCCATCAGAGTTCCTATCAACCTTAAAAGGGGTGGTGAAATCAGACCATTAAAGGGGGAGAAGGGTAGGGGTGGAGGCTTCCATGTGCCTAGACCTTAGCTGTGCTTTGAGGGTGCGTAGGGAGTGAGGGAGGAGCTCTGGTAGCATAGTGCCTAAGGCACTTGACTGCTAACTAGAAGCCTGGCGGTTCAAACCCACCAGCCACTCCTCAGAAGGAAGGTTGGGCAACCTACTTCCTAGTAATCATGCCTCGGCAACCCAAGGAGGGGTCGCTATGAGTCAGGGCCGACTTGATGGCACATAACAACAACAACAGGGAGCGAGGTAGAGAGGCAGCATTGGGAGGTGGGGATGGGGGAACGTCTATGCATGAAGGAAGAATGAATGAACCAACGAATAGTACAGTTTCTCTCTAGTGCACTGTTATTCAGCTTCTCAGGGTTAGAAAATTCACTCTTCCTACAGAGCGGGAAGGGAGCTCTGGTAGCATAGTGGCTAAGACATTTGCCTGCTAACCAGACGGCTGGCGGTTCAAACCCACCAGCCACTCCTCGGAAGGAAGGTTGGGCAATCCTACTTCCGTAGTGATACTGCCTCGGAAGCCCAAGGAGGGGTCGCTATGAGTCGGGTTTGACTCGACGGCACATAACAACAACAACATAACAACAGAGCGGGAAAAGCCCCTAGTTAGTTTTCAACTTCTAACTTGTTAGAACTGTGAGATTTCGAAAAACCAGACTGGCCTCATTTGTCTCTGTATCAGAACTTTGCCAGTGTTGCGTTGGGACCAGCGCGCGACGGCCGAGATCCAACACAGCCCCTGGGAAAAGGTGGACGTGTTGGCCCCGCCCCTAGGCTAGGCCCCGCCCCGGCTCCGCCCCTCTCTGCCAGCAGGCTGACTGCCTGGCGTCGCCTGGCTTGCGCCTCGTCCTTCAAGCGCCAAGGCGGGCGGAGTTGCGGGTGAGGGGCGGGATGTTTTAGGGGGGGTGGGGGTCCCGATGACGGCATCGGAGCGCGCCGTGCTGGGGCTCCAAGCCTAACTACATCGCCCGGGGACTGCACCCGTACAGGAGTAGGTGCGTGCTGCCTGATAGGGTGTGGAGGGCAAGGATCCGGGTGGGACGGGGGAGGGGCGCGCTCGCCCCCTGCCTACGCAGCCGTGGGCCAGGTGGCATCGGGAGCCGGGGTGTCTGGGGAGCCCTGACCAGCATGAGGAGTCCTCCACCCTTGCCTACTGGCCTATCAGAGGCCCCTCCCTGGGCGAGTGGCGCCTCTTCTTCCCTAAGTCGGAGGGCTGAGGCTAGCTAGCATCGCGGGCTTGGCCAGAAGGAGCGAGCAAGCGCGAGGCTACAAGGGTCGGGCCCTCATTTATAATCACTTCTCCAAACTTTCTCGGAGCTCCTGTCCCGGGCCCGCTGCCTCTGGCCGCCGATCCCCTATCCTGACCCGCCGGGCTCCCGAATGCACTTTTGTAGTTGCCTGGGCACTGTTGGTGCGCTAGGCACTGTGCCGGGAGGTGGGGCTTGTTAAGGTTTGCAATCCCAAGGGCAGTGGGGAGACTTTGGGGTTGGGGGTGGCATGATCTCATTTGTTTTTCTGAAAGATTCCCTTGGCTGCTGTTTTGGAAGGGACAGGGATACCGAGACCAGAGAAAAGGCTTGTAAAAATCATCCTGTCAGGATGTCCCTGGCCTGGGGCCAGGGCTTTGACAATAAGATGGGAGAAACAGGTAGACTTGAGAGAGATTTAGGCGATGGAAGTCCGCCGGATTTGGCAGTGAGAGTTTGGTCTTGATTTTTTAGAAGGTGGTGAAAGTATGATAAAGGACTGTGAAAAATCCAGAAGGATGTTAGGGAGTGGGGTTTCCTGGTTGTGTGTGTGTGTAGGGAGGGTTCTTACAGGACATGGGGTTACAGGGGAAGGGTGCAGCTGGAACACAGAAGCCTTCCCGTGTCAAGAGGAGGAGTTAAGGCCTTATTTTGTCAGTGATATGAGCTATGAAATGATACTACTCTGTGGGACTATAGTTTGTCCCTTTCAGCATTTGGCACCAGCCTGTGAGTGTGGGATGTTCTGACTTTGACCAGCCTCCCCTCAATCCCTCCAAAGTCAAGAGCTGCAGAATCTGGCTCCAGGTTACCTGCAGGGTGAGTCCAGCATTGGAGTTCAGGTATTAATGGCAGTGTGCTCTCCTTCTCTCAGCAGGGCCTGGAGCAGCACCCCCTCAACATGGGGTTGGAGGCCCAGAGGTCACCAGGGACAGAGGAGGCCCCAGTGAGAGTAGCCCTACGAGTCCGCCCACTGCTGCCCAAGGAGCTGCTGCATGGGCATCAGAGCTGCCTGCAGGTGGAGCCAGGGTGTGGCCGTGTCACTCTGGGCCGTGACCGCCATTTTGGCTTCCATGTGGTACTGGCCCAGGACGCCAGTCAGGAGGACGTGTACCAGGCTTGTGTGCAGCCCCTCCTTGAGGCTTTCTTTGAGGGCTTCAATGCCACTGTCTTTGCCTATGGTCAGACAGGCTCTGGGAAGACGTACACCATGGGGGAGGCCAGTGTGGGTGAGTGACCCTCCTGAATTTCTGTCCCTGTCCCCTCACTGCTATATGCTGTTGAAGATAAGGGGTATCAGGGGAGAAGAGCAGGATGAACATAGAAATCTGCAGCCCAGGGTGGGACCAGTCATGTCAGTGGGCCAGTCATATCAGTGGGCAGGGCAGGAACCAGTCTTAGGTGCCCTGCTGGAAAACCAGGTCCTTGGAGGTGAGTGACCTTCTCAACTCCATAGAGATAGGGCTACACTGCCTTATTCTGGGAACCAGCCAGAAGCTGGCATGTCTTTAGAGGTCACTGGGATGGCTGAAAAAGATCAGGAATCCATATTGTAGTTGGAGAGTCGGGACAGTGAATGCTTGTCCTAGAAGAGGGGGGCCTTGGTTATAGAGCAGGTAGGTTTAGTGAAACTCTACAGAGGAGTTTTGCTTCCTGGGCTTATTGAAGGGACTAAACAAAAAACAAAACAAACAAACAAAAAAATCGGACCCACTGTCATTGACTCCCCCATTGGGTTTCCAAGACTAAATCTTTATGGAAGTAGATTGCCTCATCTTCCTCCCGTGGAACAGCTGGTAAGTTTGAACCACCAACCTTCTGGTTAGCAGCTAAATGCCTTAGCCACTATGCCATTTAAGTAGCATGAACTGTCTTCTCTTAGGGTACAATAGCATACATGTTTGTGGTAGAAAATTAGGAAAATACAGAAAAACATGCACAGAATAAACCTACTTGAAATTACCTTTCAGAGATCACTCATCCTTTTATCTTTTGTTTTTTTCTCTGTGAAAATTAGTGTACTTTTCAAAAATTGGGTTATATGGTACCCATTCTTTTGTACCCTGCTTTATTTATTTATGAACATACCGTGAACATTTCTCTATAGCATTAAATATTCTTCAATCTGATTTTTTAAATGGGTACCTGGCATTCCATTGTTAAAGTAATTTATTTAACCTAATGCCCTGTTGCATCTTAGGATGAATTTTTTTGAGTTATGTGGAGTGCTGCTCTGAATATCCTCCAAGTACTTCTTTGGGATAAATTTAAGGAGACGTTTAGATAAATGAGTGTGGTCGATAGTAATGAAGTCCCTGTCCCCAGGAGCAAGTCAATGGTGTCTGCTCTTTTGTTGGGGAAGTAGTGGAGGGGATGCTTGCATCATGAAAGGGGTTGGTTGAAGCATGGGAAGTTGTTTCCAACTTTGAAATTGTATAATTCTGCCTGGCCTAACCCCTGGCCACCCTGGACTCTGGCCTGGCTCAGGCTGCCCAGCTAATCCTAGCCGCTGCTGCTGCCTTCTCCACACTGGAGTCCCATCCTCCAGCTGTGCCCAGCTTCAGGCAAGGTGGCAGCAGGCCCTGTGGTGTCTTCCCAGCCTCCCTCCATGAGGACGAGCAGGGCATCATCCCACGGGCTATGGCTGAAGCCTTCAAGCTTATCGACGAGAATGACCTGCTTGACTGTCTGGTGCATGTGTCCTACCTTGAAGTGTACAAGGAGGAGTTCCGTGACTTGCTTGAGGTGGGCACTGCCAGCCGTGACATCCAGCTTCGGGAAGATGACCGAGGGAATGTCGGTAGGACACCCCCTGCCCCCAGTAGGACTGGAGTGGGGCACTTGGCCTGGGGAGGCTTCACCTCTGAAAGGGGACTTACCTGTCTGAGAGATACACCTCTTCTCCTGGAAACCCCTTGTATCCTCAGTCTCAAGTTCAGTATATACTTCTGCTTCCCTAAGTGAGAGACCTTGAGGTGGGCATGGGGGGAAGCTGGATGGGAGGGACGCCCTGGGCATGGGGAGGGGGTAACCTGGGCCAGGAAGAACAGGTAGGGGGCTAGACTTGCCTGCCTGCCCTCCCTTCTCAGTCAGCCTGGGACTGCCATTTCATGGGGGCTTACAGCTAGCTCTGCCCGCAGTGCTGTGTGGGGTGAAGGAGGTGGACGTGGAGGGCCTTGATGAGGTGCTGAGCCTCTTGGAGATGGGCAATGCAGCACGGCACACGGGGGCCACGCACCTGAACCGACTCTCCAGCCGCTCCCACACAATCTTCACGGTGACCCTGGAGCAGCGGGGTCGCGCTCCCAGCCGTTTGCCCCGACCTGCAGCTGGCCAGCTGCTCATCTCCAAGTTCCACTTTGTGGACCTGGCGGGCTCCGAGAGGGTGCTGAAGACCGGCAGCACAGGCGAGCGGCTCAAGGAGAGCATCCAGATCAACAGCAGCCTCCTGGCTCTGGGCAACGTCATCAGCGCCCTGGGCGACTCCCAGCGCCGTGGCAGCCACATCCCCTATCGTGACTCCAAGATCACCCGGTGAGCTGCTCATTTCTGTCATAGCTCATATGTGGGCTCTGGGCGTGGGGACGTCGAGCCTGCTAAGGGATAGCATCTCTTTTTGACTTCTGGGGACATGGGCCTACAGTTCGAGACCGCATAGGTCTCTGCCCACAAGGAACCAAATTGAGGGTGAGGCCCCATTCTGAGGTCTAGATGGCTGGCCCTAGGCTTGGTGCTTTGGCGTACCTGAGGCACCTTATCCTTGGCGCCCATAGGATCCTCAAAGACTCCCTCGGGGGAAATGCCAAGACTGTGATGATTGCCTGCGTCAGCCCTTCGTCCTCCGACTTTGATGAGACGCTCAACACTCTCAACTATGCCAGCCGTGCCCAGAACATCCGCAATCGCGCCATGATCAATTGGCGGCCAGAGGCAGAGCGGGCGCTGGAGGAGACGGCGGCTGGGGTGCGGGGACCACCGCGGCACCGCTCGGAAACGCGCATCATCCACCGCGGCCGGCGCGTCCCCGGTACCGCCGCGGCCCACGCAGCCGCCGCTCGTCTGGATGCCGAGTGCGCGCGCTGCAGGGCCCGTGCTGATGCTGCCTGCAGCCTTCTGCGCGAGCTGCAGTCTGAGCCTGGCCTGCCTGGCGCCGCTGCGCGTAAGGTGCGCGATTGGCTGTGCGCGGTTGAAGGCGAGCGCAGCGCTCTGAGCTCCGCTTCCGGGCCGGACAGTGGCATCGAGAGCGCCTCCAATGAGGACCAGGCCGCGCAGGGGCCTCGAGAGAGAAAGGTGGTCAAGGGCCTGGCGGACACCCCCGCTTCCCCGGGAGGTGGGGAGGGGGAAAGGGAAAAGGAGAGTTCAGACATTCATTTGTGCCCCTGCCGTCTGTCCATTAGCAGAGCTCATTGAGAATTCAGTCACTTCTCACTTTTCTTAACCTCATCTGGTCCCTAGGATCTCCAGCTGAAATAGGGATAACATTTGCACGTACCTCCTGGGGATGTTGTGAGGGCTGAATATGAAACCTAGAGCCCAGCATACTGGTGAAGGCTTAGTAAGTTGTTTCTAATAACAGTGGTGACGTTATTATTATTAAAAATATGATTAATTGCAAGAGGTGGCCCAAACAGCTTGCAAAGGAGATCCCAGGCCAGGTGGGGTCTGGGGTGCCCTCCCCCCCTGGGTCTGGGAGCCCCCATTGTAGGCAGGTCTTAGGATGAAGTAGGTAGTCAGGGTAGGAGAGCTGGTGGCAGGGCAAAGAGTGGGCTGGGGTGTTCCAGGGAGAGGCATGCTTGCCCTGAAACCTCTCTTGCTGCCTCATAGGAAGATGAGGGGGCACAGCAGATGCTTACACTGCAGAGCCAGGTGGCCCGGCTGGAGGAGGAGAACCGAGACTTTCTGGCTGCCCTGGAGGATGCCATGGAACAGTACAAACTGCAGGTGGGGCCACCTGGACTAGGTGAAATCTGAGCTGAGTCTCAGGATGAGAGAGAGTTAGCCAGGCTGACCAGCAGGGTAGGCAGAAATAGGGGTGCACAGCATGAGTGAAAGTGTGGAGGTCAGGAACAGAATAAGGAGGGTGGGCAACTGGGCAGCACCACTTGGCTGATCATGCGCTCATGGCACTGTGCAGCCAAGCTCTTCCTCCTGGCTCCTGATGAAAAGTCACCTTTGCTCTTGGTGCCCTATGGTGGCAATGATCAGAAGTGGAGGGCTGGCATGGAGGGAGTGTGATGAGGTCTTGGCTGGGCTGTGAGAGCTTGAAAGTGAGTGAATACAGTGGTGATGAAGAAGTAGTCATGATGGAGGGCATTTTGGCTTTCTTATCCCTGATCATCTCTTACCTGGAGCCCAGAGACCTTGGGACTTCCCTTACCCCAGTCAATCCCCCACCACCACACACGTACTGGCTGCGTGACCAGTATGCTGGTGCTCAATTCCTCTGATTCTCACTTCCACATCTGTAAAATGGGTATACAGATGGTACCCTCTTTCACAGGCCATTAAGCCTTATGTGTGTGAGAGATTTAGCCCAGGGAAGGGAGGGTCGCCTTAGACCTGTTCTTCCTTTTCCTTCACTTCCACCTGTTGATGAGGACCTTTATCCCTCTACATCCATATCCCCCATCAGCACCCTGGCCATGTCTTGCAGAGTGACCGTCTGCGTGAGCAGCAGGAAGAGATGGTGGAGCTGCGGCTGCGGCTGGAGCTGGTGCGCCCTGGTTGGGGGACCCCAGGGCTTTTGCAGGGCCTACCAGCTAGGTCTTTTGTGCCTCGGCCTCACACGGCCCCTCTGGGGGGTGCCCAGACCCATGTGCTGGGCATGGTACCCCCTGCCTGCTTTCTTGGTGATGAAGTTGATCCCAAGCAGTGGGGAGAGGTGAGGAGGTGATATGGCAGGGTGTCTGCTGAACCTTGCTAGACTGGGCAGGCTCCAGGCAGGGGATGGGCTGTGAGATGTGAGATGTGAGATGCTCTTTCAGGTGTCCCTAGAGGAAGGGCTAAGATTTGAGTGACTGTGGGGCCTCTCAAAGAGGTCAGGTGTCATTGGGTGGTAGGCCTTGGGATGGCTGGAGATTGCTTGGAGTGAGAAAGTTACAGCTTTTGGCAGTAAATGGAAAGTTTGCACACCTCAAGAGATGGAGAGCTCACCACCTTGAGGCAAAGTCTGTCTTTGAATGGCTCTCCACAAGGTCACTTTTCTGTTGAGCCTTAATCTGTCCCCCTCAGCCTTGGTCTCCTGTTCTGGTTTTGCCACTTGTGGTCTTTTGGACCATGACTGCCCCTGCATCTGCCTGAAAGCTCTGGGTCTCTCAGCTTCAAAGGCCTGAGGGTCTAAGGAATAGAGGACATGGGTTTACAGAGGTCTGGCACATATCCGCCACTGCAGGGCATTTCTGGCTGTGTGGGGATACAGGTGTCTTCTTGACCTGCATACCTGCCTTCAGGGCAAGATAAGACTTAGGTGTAGAGAACCTGTATTCAAGATGGAAAGGGTGACTGTCACCAGATGCTGTGGGTGCTGGAGTAGGGGAGGAAGCTCTTATCTGCAGCTGGAAAGTGGAAAGGCTTCATTTGAGCTAGCTCTTGAAGGTAGACAGGGCTCAAGGAGGCAGAGATGTGAGGAGGGCATGCAAGGCGGGTGTACCGTAAGCACGGAAATGCGGAAGTGGGAAATGGACTGATGAGGACACCTGAGGTGTTTCTGCTGTGAAACCCTGATCCTCCCCTGGCAGCTGACAGGTGACAAGGAAGCTGGCACCGAGGTACTGGTGGAGGAAGACAGGCTGGGAAGTGGCCCTTCAACTTCATCAGAGGAGGAGGAGGAGCCACCCAAGCGGACCCTGCATCTGCGCAGGTGAGTGGGACTCCTACCTGAGCCTGCCAAGGACCTAGCCTGGGTGGAATAGGACCCTGTCTCCCCCCTGCCCCAATAGCAGTGGCTTTCACACTGCTGGCCTAGGCGTCTTGGGTTTCAAAGTATTCTCCCTAAAACACCCTAGCCAGTCCTGGATAGAGAGTAGGGTGGACTTGGCTCTGAGCCAAGTGGGCTCACTAAGGTGGGGGTCTGTGAGGTGGCCCTCGATGTTCCCACCTGCCAGGTTCCTCCTAGGCTCAGAGTTCTGTAACACTTGGCTTCTCTTCTTCCCTCCAACCCTGGGAGGTGGCTAAGCTAGGGCAGGGACTGGGGAGGGGTACAAACTTTTGCTTCTGCCTTCTAGAAATGGGATTGGCAGCTGGAACCGGAAGGTGGGGGTCCACCCAGCGAGTCCAACCAATAGGAAGGGCCCAGAGCTTCGCCTTGAAGAACTGGGTGCACCCATCCCAGGGCCCAGAGGTAAGCTAGGTGGGATGTGGAGGGCCCCTTCCCCTTACCATGGTCCTGGACTGACCACCTGGGTGCATCTACCCATCCATCACCCCTGCCCAAGGTGTGCCTCTCCCTTCTTCCCCTCCCGGCCTCCCCTCACTGTCAGTCTGCCTGTTGCAGTAGTTGATGAGAGCAAGGCCCCAGCTCGGCCCCGCCAGACCCCTGCCGCTGCAGCCTCTGAATGGCGGCTAGCCCAGGCTCAGCAGAAGATCCGAGAGCTGGCCATCAATATCCGCATGAAGGAGGAGCTCATTGGAGAGTTAGTCCGCACAGGTACTGGCAGGGACATTCAGGTGGGCCTCCCACCAGGCATGATTTCCTATTTGTTAATTCTGTGTTATTTTAGAGGGGGCTTGCCAGTGTGGAAAGGAGCTCTGGTAGCATAGTAGTGTTTGGCTGCTAACCAAAAAGGTTGGCAGTTTGAACCCACCAGCTGTTTCACGTGAGAAAGATGAGGTAGTCTGCTTCCGTGAATACTTACAGCCTTGGAAACCCTATGGAGCAGTTCTGCTCTATCCTAAAGGGTTCCTATGAGTCAGAATCAACTTGATGGCAGTAGGTTTGGTTTGTCAGTGTGGAAGAAGCTTTGGTGGTGCAGTGGTTAAAGCATTCGGCTGCTAACCAAAAGGTTGGTGGTTTGAACCCACCAGCTACTCCACAGAAGAAAGATTTGGCAATCTGCTTCTGTAAAGATTTACAGCCTTAGAAAACCTATGGGTAGTTCTCCAGTGTCCTATAGGGATGCTATGAGTTGGGATCAACTTGACGGCAATGAGTTCCAGCATGGTGGTGAAGAGCAGGCTCTTGAACCAGAAGGCTGGGGTAGATTCCCAGTTCATCTTCTCCCAGCTGTGTGACCTTGAACAAACATATCCCCTCTGTGCTTGAGTTTTCTCATCCCTATAATGAGGATAGTAATCATGTCTATTCATAGGGCTGTTGTGAGGGTGAAATGAGTTAATTCAGGTTAAGTGCTTAGAATAGCTCCCAGTAAGCATTACTTATTATTTATCAAGTACCTGCTGTATATCAGGCTCTGTGCTGGGCACAGGCTCTTTCAGTCCTGGGAAGCATATACTGTGTGACCAAGGACTGGGTGTCCCCAGATCATGTAGTTTGTGACTGGTGATATGGGTGAAAGGGTGGGTGTTTTGGTTCCCTGGTGCCACTCTGACAGTAATATACCACAATTAGGATGGCTTTAACAAACAGGAGTTTATTCTCTTACAGTTTTGGAGGCTAGAAGTCTGAGGTCAAAGTGCCAGGCTGTAGTGGCTGGGTGAAAGCCCCTTGACTTTGGACTTCAGCTCTACCTCTTGCTCCCAGCCCACTGAAGCTGGAGGCATCTCTTCACTTAGGCAGCTGCTGGCTGCTGAGGCTGACAAACCCAAGGTTGACAAGTAAAAAGGCACAGGCTTGATATTACCAAACCACACAGCTGGCCATTGATTCAAATCCATTAAGAGACCCAAGATTGGCAGACAACATGGCAGTCTGCTGAACAATGACTTGGCTACATGCAGGGTTCAAGTGTGCCAAAAGCTAGAGAACTTCCCCAAGGTTGCTTCTTGTATGCTGGAAGCAGACCAATCTCTAAAGCAGCTACTCAGCTGCTCCAATAGATTCCACCATGAAGCTGATTACCAATCTCACCATGGAGAATAACTACATCCAGCTGTCCAGCCAAGTTGACATATAACCTTAACTACCACCAAACAAACCACACACTGCCATGGAGTCGATTTGACTCATAGTGACCCCATTTGGTTTTCCAAGGCAGTAAATCTTTATGGAAGCAGATTGCCCAGTCTTTCTTTTGCAGAGTGGCTGGTGAGTTTGAACCGCCAGCCTTCTGATTAGCAGTCAAATGCTTTAGGCACTATGCCACAAAACCAAAACCAAAACCCAACTCACTGCCATCGAGTCATTTCCAACTCATAGTGACCCCACTTTGGGTTTCTGAGACAGTATCTCTATAGAAGTAGATTGCCCAGTCTTCCGAGGAGTGGCTGGTGGGTTTGAACCATCAGCCTTCTGGTTAGCGGTCAAATGCCTTAGGCACCACACTACTGGAACTCCTTTAACTACTACAGTGGGGGACGATTTTTTTTTCATTGTGCTTTGGGGAAAATTTATTTACAAAGCAGATTTGTTTTACATTTAATAGTTCATACACATTTGATGTCACAGCCCCTATTATCATCCCCAAACATAAAAAACTCTTATCCCCTCTCCTCCTGTGACTCCCCCCCCCCAACCCTTCTTATCTATGCATTCCTGTCTGTCCAGCTTTCCCTCTATGTGAATGCTGCCCATTTGATGTCTCATGGCTGACTGACCCATGGGGTACATCTCCCCAGGGTAGATGGGTGCAGGTGGGGGACAATTTTATGTGGTAACCAGTTGAGCTTTTTTATTTTAATAGTTGTAAGTATATAACAAAATTCATTATGGAAAATTTCAGATACACATACAAAAGAGAATAATATAATGCACCCCTATCTACTTATTAGAAGTTACCAAGATTTTGCTACTTTTGTGTTATCCCTCCCTTTTTGTTTGTAAATCCCCAAACATCACATCATATCATCCCTATGCCTTTCAGTGTGCCTATCTAAAAAATTTGGACTTTCTTTTTTTTTTTTTTTTTTTTTCTTAATCATAATGCCATTAACACATTTGATAAGATTAGTAATAATTCCTTGGATGTCAACTAATGCCTAGCCATGAACCCATGGCTTGGTTATTGAACAATGTCTGTTTACAGTTCGTTTGCTTGAATCAGGCTCCACACTTGTTCCACACATTATATTTGCTTGTTAGGTCTCTGAAGTTCCCTGTCTCTTACCAATTCAGTCATCCAGAATATTCCAAAATCAGAATATTCTAGTTTTATCTCTTTGCTTTTTTATAGTTGTCATTTAACTTGTTCCTTTCTCCCCCATATTTCATGCAAATAGAAGTTAGTTCTACAGGCTTAATTCTTTTTTTTTTTTTTTTTAACCTGGTCTTTCCTGTATGACGTTGTCTTCTTTTTTTTTTTTTTCCTATTGTTACAGACTTAATTCTAAGTTACATATTTATTTTAATGTTTATTAGGGAAAAATAAAACTGTTAACCTTCAGTTTCCTTGTGTCACTGATGAGCATAAGGCTAATCTGAAAAGTGAGTTGATGTAAAGAAAAAATGTTATATAAGTCACAGTACTGGTGGTACAAAGGCTTGGTAAAACCCAATGCAGGTGTCTGTAGCTGAGAGCTGTCTGCAAGGCCTCCCAGGGTAATGTCTTCCAGGGCAGGTGGCTCTTGTGGGAAGGGGTGGCCTATACTGACACAGCCCTACTTCCAGGGAAGGCGGCCCAAGCCCTGAACCGCCAGCATAGCCAGCGCATCCGGGAGCTGGAGCAAGAGGCAGAGCGGGTACGGGCCGAGCTGAGTGAAGGCCAAAGGCAGCTGCGGGAGCTAGAAGGCAGGGAGCCCCAGGACGCTGGTGAGCGGTCCCGGCTCCAGGAGTTCCGCAAGAGAGTCGCTGTGGCCCAGAGCCAGGTGCAGGTCAGTGTCGGGCCCCAAGGCAGCAGCTGTGGCCTCCTAGGCTGGGGGCTCTGAGATCAGGACATGCTCCAGCCCTTGTGCCCTGGTCCCTGACTGGTGGTGATCACTCCTTCCAGGCTCCTAGGGTGAGGCTGGCAGTACAGGAGGCTGTTTTAAACACCACAGAGGAAACAAACAGGGCATTGTTGAGGGTGGGCACCTAAAGAAAATCTACCCTACATCATGCAGTCCTTCCCTCCTCTGTCCATCTATCTACCCTCCCATCTATCCACTTACTTACTCCTCTGTTCTGTCATCCTTGTTTGCAAACCTGTCTGTCCATGTGTTTATCCAGTTCATCCATCTGCTGGTCCTTTTACCAGTCGGTGTGACCAACTTCCCATTTATCCATCTGTCCATCCACCCTTTATATGCATTATCTGTTCATCCTGTTTTTCACCTTTGTATCATCCCATTGTTCTGTCTATCTGTCCACTGACCCTTCCATCCATCATATTTGCAGTTGTCCATCCATCATTCATTCCTTCTTTTGTCAGCTCAGGTGTCCAAGAGACAACACAGTAGAGCAGATGAGAGCTCAGGCTCTGGAGGCAGATTGGGTATGAATCCTAGCTCCACTTGCTGTCTGTCCTTGGTCACATTTCCTAACTTCTCTGTGCCTGTTTTCTCATCTGTGACATAGGAGTAATAATAATCATGCTGTTGTTGTTGTTATTTCCTGTCAAGTCAGACCCGACTCGTAGTGACCCTTCCTTGGGTTTCCAAGGTGGTATCACTATGGAAGTAGATTGCCCAACCTTCCTTCCAAGGAGTGGCTGGTGGGTTTGAACCACCTGCCTTCTGGTTAGCAGTCAGGTGCCTTAGGCACTACGCTACCAGAGCTCATACCTTTTAAAAAGATGGTTATGCAAAGATGAACCCTTTTGCACATACAGTACTGCATTGTCAGTGAAGGCAAACACAGGTATATGGGTAGATAGATGGGTGGACAGGCTGAACTATTAGGTATGTCTTTGCAGCAGGGAGTGTACCCAAGACCATGTACAGGGTCGGCAGACAATGGTTCTTCAAGTGTATTTGTATGTTCTGTAAGAATTTTGAGGGGTATAGTAGAGCTGACAAGGGACAAGGTTGTAGTCACTTCTTGGTCACAGCCAGCTACCCAGAGGGACCGAGTAGTTGAACCTGTGGGCTCGGGACCATAGTCACAGGGAACATCAAGCTCAATTGGCATAACATACTGCACAAAACATTGTTCCACCTCCTACTTTGGTGAGTAGTGACTGGGATCTTAAAAGCTTGCAAGCAGCCATCTAGATGCAATGATGTGTCTCTCCTCGTCCAGAGCAAAGAAGAATGAAAAAACCAAAGATTCATGGAAACAATTAGTCCTCGCAACTGGTGCACCATGCAGTCCTCAGCCCATATGACTATGAGACCAGAAGAACTAGATGGTTCCTGGCTACCATTGTCAACCACTTGGAGGGGGATCTATATAGGAGATCCTCGATAGAGAGGGAGAACAATGTGGAACAAAACTCAGAATCATTTGGGGGGAAAAAAAAAAGGGAGACCAGGTTTGCTGGTCTACCTGATGGAACTACTGAGGCTGTGGTCCCTAGCTGCCCTTCAAGTTTGGAATTGAAACCACACCTGTGGCTTCCAGCCAAACAAAAGACAGGCATAAGAGTTAAACATGTATCTGAGGTAGATACACTCCTTGGAGAGAACAATCATGGGAGAAAGGACTGTTTATGCACAGGGAGACAGCTCAGGGGGCAGGAGTGCATGGAGGGATGGACACAGGGAAGAGGTAAGTATTGGGAGGAAGTGGGAAGGGAACTGTTGAATTGGGGTAAATTGTAGTCAGTGTCATGAGACAGTGTGTGTGAGAACTGCTGTATGAAAAGTGAATTTGCTCTGTAAACTTTCACCCAAATCACAATTAAAAAAAAAAAAAAGATAGTTACGTTTATTTAATACACACAAAGCACTTAGTACAGTGCTTGGTGCATAGTAAATGCCTTGGAGGGGTTAGCTACCACTATTGTTATTAGTCCCCCAGCCACCTGCCTGTTTTCCCTTTTGTCTGTCCCTCTATCCACTCATCCACCCTTGTGGAGTGCCAGGCAGTAGGTGAGGCTCTCTGGTAGCCTCTGGTGGCCCCACGGAGGCGGTGTTGGTCCCAGGTACTGAAGGAGAAGAAGCAGGCGACGGAACGACTGGTGTCACTCTCGGCCCAGAGTGAGAAGCGGCTGCAGGAGCTCGAGAGGAATGTGCAGCTTATGCGGCAGCAGCAGGGCCAGCTGCAGAGGCGGCTGCGCGAAGAGACAGAGCAGAAGCGGCGCCTGGAGACAGAGATGAACAAGCGACAGCACCGCGTCAAGGTTGGGCCCATAGCTGCATGGGGAGCATGACCCAGGGGGTCCTGGCCCCACTACTTAGAAAACAGCAGGGCACTTGATTAGTCTGAGTTTGTGTTTTCATCTGAAAATGAGGAAAGTTCTAGGAAACTAATGGCTAGAGTGCGAGTTCAGTGAGATGAAATATCTAGGGTGTCTGCATCTTGTAGAGGTTAGGGAAGTGTTTGCTTCTCTTTACCTATCCCAGAGTCTTGGGGATGGAGGGGGGGTGAGGCTGGGGAATATGTGCAGAATTGTGTCAGGAGTGGGGCAGGCACTCCTGTGGCCTTTGAGAACAGGCAAGGCTCTGATAAGGTACTAGTGCCATTAGCTTCTTTCCCTGGCCCTCCCCAGGAGCTGGAGCTGAAGCATGAGCAGCAGCAAAAGATCCTGAAAATCAAGACGGAGGAGATCGCAGCATTCCAGAGGAAGCGGCGCAGTGGCAGCAATGGCTCTGTGGTCAGCCTAGAGCAGCAGCAGGTAGGAGGACCCAGGGTGAAAGGAGGTGGGACAACAACTGGGCTGAACCTGCACCCGAAGAGTACTGCAGCCTGGCTGGACAGTGTGGCTGGTTGCCAGGGTCCCCTGGGAGCTGCTGGTGATACACCCTTCTCTCTGTTGGAGCCGAGTTTTCTCCTGTCTCCCCTCTTCCCCTCAGAAGATTGAGGAGCAGAAGAAGTGGCTGGACCTGGAGATGGAGAAGGTTCTGCAGCAGCGCCGGGCATTGGAGGAGCTGGGGGAGGAGCTCCAGAAGCGGGAGGCCATCCTGGCCAAGAAGGAAGCCCTGATGCAGGAGAAGACAGGGCTGGAGAGCAAGCGCCTGCGGTCCAGCCAGGTGAGGCTCTGCCAGGAGAGATCCTGCCAGCTGAGTTTCCACTAGGTGATACCCTGCCAGGTGAGGTCCCTCCAAGTGATATTCCTGATAGGTGAGTTCCTGCAGGTCTAGTCAGGTGAGGTCCTTCCAGGTGATGTCCCTGCCAGGTAAGTTCCAGCCAGATGAAGTCCTGCCTTACTGGGCTATATTCTATGAATCCTCAGGAACTTTGGGGCTTTAGGATACTATGATGTGTGGGTAGAGGAACCTCTCCAAGTATCCATTTCACAATCATGTCATCTCATTAACCACCTGCTCTGGGCCTGTGCAGGTGGAATAAGGAGCAGCAGATAGAGAGAGGTGCTGTAGCCAAATAGAGTCTTCACTAGCTTTAGAGGCTGACAGACCTGGGGTTGAAACCTGGCTCTGCCAGGTATCATTACTCCCTTTTAAGTAGGAAGGCAAGCTTTTAAGCCTGTTTCCACCTATGTCAAATGGAATCATAATGTTCTCATGAGGATTACAGTGGGAAGACACAAACCTCTTCCATTAGGGGGTGCTTGCACCAAATTCCCAGGGCTTCAGACCACAGTGGTTAGGAGCCCACCCTGGCCATCATGGGTGCACTTTGTGAAGTCCAAGGAGTTTGTGCTGCAGCCAGATCATCCTTAACTCCCCTTGACCTCACTCCCTCCTACATCCGGCTCCCAGAAGGGCTGCTGATTTCCACATTCCTTCTCCAGTCCAGTCATCTCAGTGATAGTCCACATTACCATTGGCTCTGGTCCATGTCATCCTTTTCTTGCCAGGAGTGCCTCTTCCTTGCTTGTCTGTGTCCTCCTGGCCATCTCTGGGGACCCCTTCTCAGATGCTTTGGCCCCATCAACCACCAGTCCCCAAGCTTCTGCATAACTAAGAGCCAGGTCTCTCTGAGCAGCATACTCTGAGGTTCTTTTCAGGGCCATGTCTTAGCATCTGGATTAAGGGCTTATGGAGGGAAGTCCTCACTTCTTGGCAGCCAAGGACAACGTGGCAGTTTTTCATCCTTGTGGGATGGTACCTGATCTCTCATCCTTGTTGGTGCTGCCCAGGCCCTCAGTGAGGACATTGTACGAGTGTCTAGCCGGCTGGAGCACCTGGAGAAGGAACTCTCTGAGAAGAGTGGGCAGCTGCGGCAGGGCAGTGCCACCAGCCAGCAGCAGATCCGCGGGGAGATCGACAACCTGCGCCAGGAAAAGGACCTGCTACTGAAGCAGCGCCTGGAGATTGACAGCAAGCTGAGGCAGGGCAGCCTGCTGTCGCCTGAGGTACTCCCTGGGCTGCCATCGTCTGTCCATTTTCTCTTCATAGCCTGCTGGCTCTGGTGATTTGCTGGGTGCTGAGGCCAGAAAGGCAGGAGGTTTGGGGTTGGTAAGCGTGCTGGACTAGCCCTTCTGCCCCTGCTTTAGCCCTTTGCCTGTGACACAGAGGGGTTGGGCCTGGCTGACCTTTCAGTTCCCTTGCAGCTGGAACCTGGACTCATTGTCATCAGGCCCCACTCACACACGATTAAACTCCCTCCCTGCATGGGAATGGATGTTTAGCACACTTAATGTGCTTCATGGCCCTTGTATATTTGTTTTATTAGAGCAGCAGAGAAAGCCTAGGCTAATATAAATCCATTCTAGCAGACCACATGGAGCCTCTGTTGCACACCTACCATGTTTTCTATCTGGTGTGTATTTGGGGCTTCTTAGTACAGATCACTTGGAGAGAGCCATGCACCTCAGAAGCAGCCTCTTAGCAGTGCCCAGCTCTCACCCTGGGGTTAGGTAGACCAAAGCATCCCTGTGCCTGCCACTAAAGGCAGAAGGAACCTTTATCTTCACTCACTTCTCAGGATGAGGGGACATATAAAGGCAGTTTTGTGGCTAAGTGTTGACTCTTACAGTGCCTCATGTCTGCTAGGCATTGTCGTCGGGGAGTTGGTGTTCTGAGGTGGCAGAAGCCCAGTACCTCCCCCACGCATGTCCACATCCCCACAGGAGGAACGGACGCTGTTCCAGCTGGATGAGGCCATTGAAGCCCTGGATGCTGCCATTGAGTACAAGAATGAAGCCATCACATGCCGCCAGCGTGTGCTACGGGCCTCAGCCTCCTTGCTGTCCCAGTGCGAGATGAACCTCATGGCCAAGCTCAGCTACCTCTCATCCTCAGAGACCAGAGCATTACTCTGCAAGTACTTTGACAAGGTGGGTCACTGGCCACGACCCTCTGCCTCTTCCTTCCAGAACTCATGTGGGGGAGTATCTGATGGCAGCTCCAGCTAATGCCCCATTTCTGCCCAGACTGGGGACAGAATTAGGACCAACATGTCTCCAGGGCTGCCTCAGACTCGCTTCTTTAGAGCCTATTTTATGTAATGAAATTAAGACCCATTGTCCTCTTTCAGTCTTAATGGGCTAACTTTAGGGTGGCCCTTGCCCAGATTGGTGGTTCTTTATGGGGGCTGACTCTGCCTCCCAGAAGGCAGAGTCTGAAGACACTTTTGGTTATTACAATGGTGGGAAGATGTGTGTGCTATGACATCTAGTAGGTAGAAGCAAGGGATGCCGCTCAGCATCCTGCAATGCACAGGAAAGCCTCCACAGCAAAAACTGCCTGGCTCAGAACTTGCTGAGGGTGAGTAACCCTGGCCCTGATGAAATTCCACAGCTGAAGCACTGCCCATAAGCTCAGTAGCATGTGGCTGGGAAAGGGTTTGAGACAGGGATGGCAGATCAGTTTCATTTTGAGAGCCAACTCCAACGTTTACAAATCGTTGCCTAGAACATGTTGAGATGTCTGAGCCTCAGCAGGGAAGACTCAGTGATATTTTACTAATGTCTGGGTGGAGGGAGCCAGTGGCCGGGCGTGAGCCTGGACTGGCCTTGGCCCAGGTGGTGACGCTCCGAGAGGAGCAGCACCAGCAGCAGATCGCCTTCTCGGAGCTGGAGATGCAGCTTGAGGAGCAGCAGCGGCTGGTTTACTGGCTGGAGGTGGCTCTGGAGCGGCAGCGCCTGGAGATGGACCGTCAGCTGACCCTGCAGCAGAAGGAGCACGAGCAGAACATGCAGCTGCTCCTACAGCAGAGCCGAGGTGAGGCCCTAGCTGGACCCACAGGCCTTGTCCTCTGTCCATGTTCACAGCCCTCACCACTCTTCTCTGCCTTTCCGCTCTAGACCACCTTGGTGAAGGGTTAGCAGACAGCAAGAGGCAGTATGAGACCAGGATTCAAGCGCTGGAGAAGGAACTGGGCCACCACATGTGGATAAACCAGGAGCTAAAACAGAAGCTCAGTAGTTTAAATGCTACAGGCCAGAGCAGGGGTAATTTTATCTGGTGTCACTGAGCTGGACTGTGCTCTGTAGTGCCTCACTCTGAAACCAACCTTATTCCTTTCTGTCTTGGGGAGGCTTAGAGACACCCCCACTTTAGGTCTTACTAGGTCATTTCACAGGTTGCTTGCTATGCTTCATCATTGACAATGGTGTTTTCTTGGTGACAGGTGGGGAGAAGAGGAACCTGTGCATAGCAAACAGACAACCCCTTGGAAACGAAGAGGAGCCTCACTCAGCCCCTGAGCTTCCCTGGCAGCCCCTTGTCACTGAGGGTGCCCCCTGCACCTGGGAGGAGGTACGAGACTTGGTCAGAGCTCCATTGCCGCTAACATGGAAGCGCTCAAGCCTATGCAGTGATGAGCAGGGCTGCCCTGAAGAGCTGAGGCATCGGGAAACAGCTGAGGCTCTAGTGGGGCGGGGGCTGCCTGGAGCTGAGGGGAGCCTGCTCTGGAACTTTGGGCCTCTGCCCAAGCCCCGTCGGGACCTGAGAAGAGCCAGTCCAGGGATGATCGACGTCAGGAAAAACCCCCTGTAGGCTCTTGGGCAGACCCTGCCTCAGAGGGAGATGTGATCCTGCTGGAAGGTGGTGTAGCCATCATTTTGCTCCTGTGAAGGACAGTCTTTACCTCACACCCTAAGTCCACATCCTGATCTTTATGCTGACTGGAGTCAAATTCTGGCCATAGCCCAGAAGAACTAGACTCAAGATTTTAAAAATAATATGCAAATTGATACTCCGTACCTTTAAGCTGCAGCACCCGATTGCCACCTTTTGGTTTGCTCAGTTTTGGAACCATAAGCTTGGTTCTGAGCATAAATGTAGTAAGTGCCCATAAGTTGGGGGTTCAGCCAAGGCTCTTACAAAATGGTCAGGAACAACAGGGCTGTGGTTTAAATGGTCTTATGTATATATAGGGGGAGCTAGGAAACTTACTAGCACATTTTTAGAATTCTTTTTAGCCATTTCATAATAAACAAGAATAATCTACAGGAAGAAATGGGAGTTTTCACTTTGAGATTGATTTATAAGACGACTGTACAAAACAAATTGGGGAAGAGTGGCTTATTGAAACACGACAAGCGTGAAAGCTTTTTAGAGCAGGAGATGGTTCTGAATAGCTCTCACTGTTTGCCAGGCCCCTGGCCTAAACTGAACAGAATGCTGGTTAAAGGGCACCCCAGGGTCAACCATGATGCAGGTGATGGTCCCCTATGAATGGGTGGGACTATGTGTGAACTGGCTGACTATCAGTGCAGACTTGAAGTGTGGTTGACTCCAGAAACCATTAGAGCTGGACTATGGTCAGTTAACCTCAGGCTGGAACATTAAACAAAAATGCAGCCAGAGGTGATTTTATTGTCTTACCTAGGGAATAGAAAAAATCCATTCTGTCACCCCAGCAGTCTTTGGTTTCATACTCACATGGTGGACAGTGCTTTACAGTTCACAAAGCACTCCCCACGTCTGAGCCCAAGCCTCACAGCATCTCTGTGAGGCACACAGGGTACAGCCCCTTTCTCCCATTTCACAAGCTAAGGAGGCACAAAGTGGTCTCTCAACTTGCCCAAGGTCACAGTTGGGGTGGGACGGAATCCTGGGGAACAGTTCCCTGACCTCCCAGGCTGCCTCTGATTTAGCACACTAGCTATACCATCATCCCTCCCTCTCCCCGCAGCCTTCCTAATGAGGAGCAGGTGTGGAGGTAGAGGGCTGGGGTAAGTTCTGGGAGTGGATGGATTCACTAAGGGAAATAAAAAACCCTAAGGCATCCTATCTGGACTCTGAAAACTGACCACAGTAGAAGAAGCCATGGCTGACTTCACCTTCATCTCTGGAACTTTTGGTCCTGTTAAAAAGCCCTGGTTACTCCTGTTTTGGCACACTAAGCCCCAGGGTTCCATGTGTAGATCACTAAGGCCTGCATTGGATGAACTGAGTTTCTGGGCAGGCACACTGCTAAGAATTCATTTATGGTAAATGTTTGGAATTCCTTACAGAGAAAAAGCTACTCTGTCCTGGTCCAGCGTACGCAGCAGCTCCATACAAGCTCAGTAGTGTTTGTGATTACAAGTTCCACAACCTGGTGCCATCCTAACTAGCTAATCAGCTTCTTCCGTGTGTAAGTTCTACTGATGGGGCGTCTCCTTGAGAATGCACGGCTGAAAGGAGATTCTTCTGCAGTGGAGGGAAATACATCCATATCCTCATCTGGAAAAGAGGCAGAAAGTTTGAGAATGCAGGAAGTAACTGAAGACTGCATAAAAGAAAAGGGCCTTAAATTGTAGGAGAGTTACACAAAATGGGCTTACAGTAATCAGCACTGCTTGCATGTTATCCCCTCCTCTGTTATCTATACTTTTTACCACCCTCCACCCTGTATGATGAGTTTGCTGTTTTGTACATTCTTTTCAAGTCTCAGATCTGTGGGGTTTATGCTGTGTTGTGTGATTTACATCATGGTCTCCAGGAAAGAAAGCCTGAAGGCAGTCCTTCCAACCTCCTCCCACCTCCTGCATTCCCCTCAGTTCTAGCAGAAGGAAACCTCTCTCTCTAACCAGTGTTGTTAACAAGCCAGAATCTGTCCTCTCTAGGTGGGGTGGAGAAATGGGCATCCTAGAGCCTGAAGGCCGATTAGGACAGCCAGGATGTACTAGGTAACATGGGCCAAGTGGCAGGGGGGAAACACTGGCTCCAAACATACCGTCTAACACTCCTGTTACTCAAACGACTTTTTAGATTCTGATTACCACAGACTAGCAATATATTGCAATATGCCCACTTCTGTGACTATCTTCATGAAGACATTTTAGCAAGAGTTTCAGGGGGTTTCTGTTAAGATGCATATTAGTTCTACCGTAGAGTCTCTCTGGGAAGGGCACAAGGCACTGTGGTCACAAAACCATTCCAGCATTCCCTAAGACTCCTCCAAAAGTGATTTGCCTGGCAGGCGTGATGAGTCTGATCCTGGTGATGGTCTCCTGGACCTTTAACAAATTACCTTTGGTGTCTTTACACTGAGAGGAAACTGTCCTTCCCTGGAACAGCAGAGGAGACTGGGTCAGTGCTTGAAGACCACTAGCAGAGAGGCAGGTCCGCACAGCACAGCTGGGAGGTGGGGTGGAGCCTGGAGAGATTCCACATGGTCAGTACAGCAGAGCAGGGCTCCTCCCACCAGGGACCATGTGAAAGATGAGTTTCAAAAACAAGCTCACCTGAAACAAAGACCTCCTCATCCCCTGTGGAGGGAAGCTGCCCCATACTTGCACCCGGAGACTTCTCTCCATTCGCTTCTGAGTCTTCTCTCTGGCTATCATAGATTCTCTTGGCCCAATACTCAGCTTCTTCCTTATTAGAAAGGAGTCTCTTCCTGGAGCGCAGTCCACACTGTCCCCATGAGGTGCCTTCAGCCTTAGGCACATTCTCCCTCGGAGGTGATTGCTCTGGCAGCTGACATACCCCCTCAAGTTCAAACTCCCCTAGGATGCGAGTTTTACTGACACCGAGTTCAAACCCTTGCTCCTTTCCCTCCGGCTCAAGCCCTGTCCCACTCCCTGGAAGGTCTGCACTGACTTCGTTCCTCCCTGCAGAGCTGCTCCCGCTGCAGTCTACTGCCCTCTTTCTCCTGGGCCAGTCTTTAATCGTGTCAGGAGGTGTCTTTCCATGGTGCTTGGGAGATGGTGTCCAAGGAACCCCAAGCTCTGCTTGAAAAGGAGAGGGGGCACTAGAGGGGCAGCGGGTTGGGGTGCAGGACTGGCAGATGTAACTCTGTCCCCAGCTCTTTCCAGGGGTGCTGTGTGAGGAGTGGAGGCAGGGGGGTGACATGTAGCTGGTGTCAGGTTTACCTGAGGGCCTGCTGCCTCTGGCTGAGCTGAGACCAGGGAAGGTGCTCTCCTCTCTTAGAGAGCTATCCTCCCTTAGAGGTTCAGTGTCTAACAAAGAGCTGGGCTCTATCTTTTTAATTCGAAGCTTGGGGAGGCCTGAAGCTTGCATCTCCAGCTCAACCTCGTAAGTCTGTGGGCTGGCAGAGGCTCTGGAAGGCTGAGTTGAAGCCTGCAGATTCTCTTGATGTGCTACGGTCTGGCCCTGCTTTCTGTTTGCCATGTAGCACAAGCTGTACAAAGGTGCCAGAGGGGAGCTGGACCCAGAGGAAGGGGGAGATGGAGGAATCCCAGGGTGAGACAGAGAAGGCTGTTTATCAGCAACCACCGTCCTTAACGCCTCACCTTGCTCCAGTGAAATATTAGTTTTCACGTTATCACTGCCGTGGTGTTCATCTTCATCAACAAGGTACTCTGTGTCACTTGAAATAAGCAAAGGGGAGGACATATGCCAGCCTCTTCCTAAACTAGCCCCAGGGTAACTATGTCTTTCTGGAGAAGACTGAGGAGAGAGGCTCCCTTCCTTTTGGTCCTTTTGAGAATTTGTGATGGCAGCTGGTTTGCCAGTTTTGCCAACCACAGGAACACCCAAGGTGTTAGGCTGGCACTCTGGGATGCTTCTTTCAAGATTAGAGGTATTTCTGTATCGGTTTCCAATTTTAGAAGGGGGTGGAGGAGGAAAGGTGTCAGATTTATGTACCTGTGAGATTCTGGGGGGAGTTGAGGGAACAGAACATGGGAGTGATGTGGCTACATGAGATGATTGCTGGGGCACTTTCCAATCCAGTTCTCCAGGGACAGGAGAGTCCATCAGAGATTTCCTAAATGGACTCTTCTTGGAAATATCACATGAAGGAGAGTTAAATGGTTCCTTTGGAGAAATAGGTGGGTAGGAATTCATAGGTGAAGATTTTGGTCTCTTTGGAGTTTTGACAGATTTTTCCTTCAGTGTCTGTGCTGGTCCCTCTGCCTGAGAAGCTCCAGGGACCTGGGGACCTTGACTCTTTTGGTTCTGGTGTATGCCCACAAAGTCCACCTCTCCTAGCAACCCCAAGGATGCTGATTTTGAGGGTGTTCTAATATAGTGTCTAGTAGGAGTCAGGCACCCACTCCTGGTCTGGACAGTAGGTGTCGTCTGGGCTGCTGGACATAAGGTGCTTTCTGCATTGGAACGTACTGACTGTGACCAAGCACAAGTCTGCAGAAACTCAGGTGGCTGAGCAGCGTGCCTTCTGGGAGTTCTTGGTACCTTCTTTTCAAGAGGAGAGGCAAGTCCTTCCACCAGTGAGTATCCTTTTTGAGGAGTTACTGTCAGTTCAGATGGTGAATCACAGCCATATGAAGGAGAGTCCTTTAAGGACTCCTTAAACACTGCCTGTTTTGCAGGTGTCATTTCTGCAGGGGATTCCAGCAGCCTTTCTGGAGTGCAGCTTGGAGTCTGTGGTGTACAAGGGAGCCTTCTTAGTGTAGCTTTAGAAGAGCTTGGGGATTTCCAGTAACTCTTCTTGGGAGTCTGTAAAAAAAAAAAAAAAAAAACACCTCAGTGCTTGAATATCACAAGCTATATTGTCTCTAAAGAGTGCTTTAATAATCTAGAAAGTAATTAGAAAGGTAAATAGGAGATTTACAGGCAGTCAAAGGAGTGATCTTAAGTTGGAAACTTTAATAGCTATCTGTTTGCCACTTCAAAACATGACTCAGGTTTTACTTGTCCACTTTTTCTAGCACCAACCACTGCATTAAATTTTAGTTTGTTCTCCTAAGAGGAAATAATCTAAATAACTTGCATACTACAGCTAAAATATACTTTCCCTCTAACTGTCTCACTCTGCTACTCGGACATCCACTAGCTCTTCCACCTTTTCTAGCAAGACAGCTATTTCTGATCTTTGCCAAAAGAGCCTCTAGATGCCACCTCATCTGTTCAACCTCATTCAACTTGTGCTTAGGACTCCCAGGGTGGTGCAAATGATTACACACTCTACAATTAGCCAAAAGGTGGGTGTGTTCAAACCTACCCAGAGATGCCTCAGAAGAAAGGTCTTGTGATTTTCAGAAAGGTCTCAGACTTCAAACCCCTATGGAGCAGTTCTGCTCTGCACACAGAGTCACCATGAGTCAGAATCGACATGACAGCAACCACCACCACCATGTGCTTACTAAGCAGCTACTAGGTGCCAGGCACTGTATGTGTGTGCTGGTGAGGCAGAGCAGGAGTATCTCAGAAAGGACACACTCTAACCAAAAAGATTTCCTTACTTTCTTACAAAAATGCAGTTAAAAATTCCAGCAGGTAAGGAAATCAGACACCTCTCTATTCTATAGTTTTACTTCATCATCTCAAGGGAATCCTGGTCTAGTTGGTATTTCATATTCAGTAGGATATAAATAAATGATAATTCATTGAGCCCTTGTAGTGCAAAAGTTAAGAACTCAGCTGCAAACCAAAAGGTTGGTGGTTTAAACTCACCAATGACTCCATGAGAGAAAGACCTGGCAATCTGATTCTGTAAAGGTTATGGCCTAGAAAACTGGGGCAGTTCTAATCTGTCACATGTGGTCACTAAGAATCAAAAAACTGACTCAATGGCATACAGCAACAATGACAGGGACATGTACCAGACATTGAGAGCACAGCATGGGGAAGGAAGGGGTCAAGAAGAAGGAAACAATGTGGGCAAAGGCACAAAAGTGAAATTAGCACACATGTGCAAGCCAATCACAGCCTAATGTGGGAAGGCAGGGTGTGAAGGAAAGGGGGTAAGGAATGAGGCCAACCAGGCTCTTAGGGATCAGACCATAAAAGGAGGACCTTGCCTCCCCTGTGGAGGATACTTGACCAGGGTTCTATAGAGCTATAGTTTTCACAACCTTCCCCACAGCTCCATGTCCTCTCCAACGTCAAGCTGTTTATTGGGTTTCTAAGTAAAGATAATTTTTGAACACAAATTCCATTTTAGGAAAACTTAGAAAACCTCCTTTAGCAGACAGGGAATCTGTGGAGTTTTAAAAAAAGTATTGGGGTCAGATGAACATTTTAGAGAGATCATTCTGACCCCTGGGGAGGATGGATTTGAGAGGGAAAAGCTGTTGAAATGTCCCAGGTAGAACTGAAGAGAATCTGAACTAGAACAGGAACTTCATGGATGGGGAACAGGGGATGGGTACAATATACAGTTTGTAAATAAATCTGCTGGATTGAATAAGCAGAAGCAAAGGGTGATTTCTGGGTTTCTAACACTGGGTGACTGGATGGAGCAGGCAATCCACCTGAAAGATCTTTCCAAAAAAACATACCAAACTCACTGCCATCAAGTCGGTTCCAACTCATAGCGACCCCTCCTTGGGTTTCCAAGGCAGTATCAGTACAGAAGTAGACTGCCCAGCCTTCTTTCTGAGAAAGATCTTTAGGTAGTGGATATTTTAAATGGTAGAGGAAGCCAAGACAACAGATGTCATCTTTATCTCCTCTCCACAATCCTGGTTTCAGTAAAACTGCTACTCACAGTACCCATATACCCCAAAAAACTACTCATTTGAACCAACCCAAATGCCCCAAATTTCTATTATTAGCCAAAAGGTTACCTGCTTTCTCTTCCCTAACAGACTCTATGGGTTCCCCTGGCTGTGTCTCTTTGTTCCCTAAGAACATACTACTTTGAATGTCATAGAAATGTTATACCTGATAAGCTGTAGTTATCTCAGAACCCAACATGTTTCTTGAAGGCCTTTTAATGTGGGCTGAGCCCTTCTCTGAGGGGCTGGTCATCTTAGACACTGCACCAAAGAGAAGTGTCTTGGGAGACCGAATGCTTTGGGCTGGAAAATTTTCTCTTCGATCTGCAAGTAAAAAAAAAGTGATAGTATTTTATTCCTTCTCAACTTTTGCCCTTCTAATACTATTAAAATAGCCAGTCCATAAAAGAAAGAAGACAATGATTCTTGACAGCAACTGGGAGGAAAACCCTACTTAATTCTCAGCAATATCAGCAACTGCAATGCCTGTTGCCTAAATTTTAATAAGACTGCACACCAGCCCCCGCCTCTAAGTTAGGAAATATAGGCAACAGTGAGGTGCAGAAAGCAATTTGGTCTGTTGTTCTGGGTTCCTGAGAGCCCTGAGAGGCTCACCTGGAGGGTCCAATTCTGACTAAGCCTCATAGGCTTGCTGCAATTTATAATGGCCATGTAGTAAAGCCAATAAAGGCTTTGGAAGATGGGGCCCAGGGAACTTCCAGGTGGGAGAAAAAGAACATCTGCTCACAGGAGGGTGGTGTGTCCTATGGAAACTCTGCACTGGAACCCCTCCCAGACCTTGCCTTATGCATCTCTTCATTAGTATCTCTTTTTTGTTGTAGTTATTGTTATTGAAAGTATGGTGCCTCCCTTAAGCCCAGGAGTCATTCCAGCAAATTATTGGGAAGGAGCAGGAGAAGACAGCTGGTCTCCAGATCATGGTCTTCAGAGGGATCATGTGGACTCCCAAGCTTACGGCTGGTACCCACTGACCCTGTCCTGCCCCAGGTAACTGTATGTGTGTTGTGGGGAGCTGCATGAACAGCTGGGGTCTGAACTGAACAGGGAAAGGAAGCTGAAATTTGAAATGACATAGCTGGTGTATAGAGTAGGATTCATTACCTACCACACAACTTGGCATCAGAGCTGAGTGATCTCAGCACCCCTGGTATGGTTTGATATAATTGGTGCAACAAGCAAAATCAGGAAGAAAGAACCCTGAATGCTCAGCAACTAAAATAATTTAAATTTATTAATATAAATATAAGGAGCTCTGGTGGTGTAGTGCCTAAGGCATTTGACTGGTGGTTTAAACCCACCAGCCACACCTCGGAAGGAAGATTAGGCAATTTACTTCCGTAGAGATACCACCTCGGAAACCCAAGGAGGGGTCGTTATGAGTCAGATATGACTCAATGGCAGTGAGTTTGGTTTGGTTAATATAAACATAAAAGCACATATCTGATTATCCAAGCTCATCATGGATAAAATGATGAAGAACATATAAAAAGGTATCACATTCCACATGGGATACTTATACGTCAGATCTGGTCTGATAAATAGAAATTATGGGTAAACATGGATTAATCTCTCTTGAATGAATGAGTTACCTAAAAGGATAGTGCAAATGACCAGTTATAGGAATCCAAAGGGATAGCTCAATCTTGACAAGCCTGTTCCCATAGTTCACTGCCCAAACTTCACATATACATATGTATTCTATAGTACTCTTCTCCAGTCAAGGAAAAAAATGTGAAATTTCACATTTCTTTTCCCAAAACCCTTCCCACCAAGCCATCATGGGCTTGTGAAGGTAGGTAGGTATGCATGTTACCTGACTTATCATGCTGGAACGAGTGAACTCTCTGAATACTTCGAGATTTTGGCTGAGATGCAGAATAGAAGAAACCAGAATTTGTCCTGCTGACTAACAATTGCTTGATTCGAGGACTTCGTCTCAAACTTAATTCTGTGAAACCAGACTCACAGTCAGTAACCAGGGAAAATTGCAAGCTTGTCATTTCCCTATACTGTCAGAAATGGGTAAAAATTATGTAATATCAAGTACAAAACAAAAACTGTAGACAAGCTATTGGCTTTAAGAGACATATGAAATGTTGTAATAAGGCTTACAGGAGTTTAATATATGGTTCCAACAAGGTATTAAAAGACATTAACTAATCTACCTCACTCTCAACTTCAAAAGTCTTATAAACTGCCATTCTTTAAGCATGATGTAAGGTGAAAAAAGCTGTGTGATTTTTATAAAAATACAAAATACAGATTTCATGTGTAATAGTTACAATGTTTGTATAGAAATAATACCAGAGAGTATATGCTAAAATGTTAATAGTTGAGTATTGCTGATTTGTGGGATTCCTAAATGATTTTTAAAAATCTGGCTTCTCCACATTTTCTGATTTCTACAACAAACAAGAATTACTTGCACAATTAAAAAAAGAAAATAATTTTTGAAATCTTATCATATGCAATTTTAAATAAGCCATAGCACTTCATATAAAGTAATGGTTTAGGCCTCATCTTGAATCCCCTTTCCATTGAGTAACAATATTTCTTCTCCAGAAATTCTCTCAGTAAATTTGGTATAAAAGAACATTCACCTATAAACACATACTGAGCTATGATTTTGGCCAGCAAATTGGCATAATTTCCATAAAATATCTTAAGATAAGTCAGGTGACAACACAGTACAGAAAGGTTTTTAGAGAAATGAGGTACAATGCAAAAAATAAACTAAATGTTGGTAATGCTCACCATTTTCTCCTCTTTCAGGGGACTCTTCAACAATGCCAATATCAGGACCAGGATCAGATGACCTTGAGGAAGGACAAGCACAAGGATTGTCCAAAGTCACTCATAATTAAAACATATTAGAGATAAAGTTTTTATCCAGCAAGGTGACAAAGATCCCAGGGTTGGATAACACCAGTGCTGGTGAGCACTTTACATTATTGCCAACTTAAAATGGTTTGAACTCTGTTTTTGAAAACCAATTCTGCAACATCAAAATTAATTAAAAATTAATGTATACCTTTTAAGCCGTCAATTCCACTTCTAATAATTTAACTTACAGATAAAACTGTTAAGTGTGTAAAACCAAATACACAAATAATGTCAATATGGCATCTTGAAAGATGAAGTAGATTCACTTCTCTCTATTCTTCCTGCTAAGAACAGATAAAACCCAGGATGATATTCACAAAACAAACATAAAAAGATTCTGAAACGTGGAAAGAACAAGGCAGACTGGCTAGGGACCTTAGGACCAAAGGAAAGACATAGCAGTGAATTACCTGCATCTTCTTTTCGCTGGTAATATCCTGGACTGGGTGCCAAAGCAGCTGACAACCCAGACATACCAATGAGTGCAAACAAAAACAACCCCAAGAAGAGCTACCACACTCTGCCCAAAGGACAGAAAAAGGGGCAGTCTGGCAAGATACAAACATTTAGACCACAATGCCACTACTCCAATCAATTGCCACGGAAAAAACAGGAGCCCTGGCCCCCATCCCCATCAGCAAAGGCTGAATGGGGAGACTAGCTAGCCCTTAACCTTGGTCTGGCAGTAATGAGGCCTAATTTCTTTATTTTCAACAGGTGAATGAATTTAAAAATTGTGGTATATCCACTCAGTGGAATACCAATAACCCGTTTCTGTTGAATCGATTCTGACTCATGGCATCCCCATGTGTTAGAGTAGAACATAGGGTTTTCTTGGCTGTAATTATTATAACCTAATGGGATACTACTGAACAATAAAAATGGATGAAATATTGAAACATACAAGATAATCTCAAAATAATTATGCAAGTAAAAAAGGCCGGACAGAACAATGCACACTGCGTGCTTCCATGTATATAAAACTCTAGAAAGTGCAATAATCTATTATTCCCCCCATCCTAATGGGTGTGAAGTGTGTATCACTGTGGTTTTGATTCGCATTTCCCTAATGACTAACAATGTTGAACATCTTTCCATGTGCTTCCTGGCCATGTGTATATCCTCTTTGGAGAAATGTATAGCAAATCCTTTACTCAGATTTTAATTGGCTTATAAGCCTCTTTGTTGTTAAGTTGTAGGAGTTCTTTGTATTTTCTAGATATTAGTCCCTTACCATATACGTGATTTGCAAATAGTCTCCCATTCTATGGGTTGTCTTTTTACTTTCTTTACAGTGTCCTTTGGACACAAAACTTTTTAATTTTGATGAGCTCCAACTTATCTATTTTTTGTTTTGTTGTTTGTGCTTTGATATCATATTTAAGAAACCATTGCCTAATCCAAGACCACAAAGATTTATGCCTATGTTTTCTTCTGAAAGCTTAATAACTTTAGCTCTTATTAAGTTTTTGAGCCATTTTGAGTTAATTTGTTTTTATTAATTTGCATAAAGTGAGGACACATGGGTTTTTATAATAGTATTTTCTATACTTGATTGTTTGCACTACTTCTTAATTTCAGGAAAGAAAAAGAGGACTTCTGGTAAGATGGAGGAACAGGCAGACAAGCAACACAGACCTCTTCAACAAAGAAAAGAAAAACCTATTGACAGAGATACAGAAGATACTCCTGGAGCCCTGAGCTTTGAAAGGAACTATACAGAAGTAGATTAGGCACCACTAGTGGAAAAATCTGAACAAAAACAGTGAGTACAGAGACAGTTGGAGCTCTGGATTGTTAAGATACTCTGACAGTACCAACAGCCTGAATATTTCCAAGTGGTGTTGGGACCTGAGAATTGACCTAAAGATTAGCCCTGGTCACCAAGGATTGCAGGGATGATGGCGCTAGTGGCCTATGAGTAGAAAAGGAAACAGCAAGGAGGGAAACAATCTGAGCTGTTGACTTCCCGCTGTCTGGAGGGTTCAGCCATTTTGATAGTTTACATGTGGCAGCAATTTTGGGTATTTTAAATGACTGAGGGTGCAGCCATTTTGAATCTTTACAAGTGGCAACCAGTTTGGATTTTAAAGTGATAGCATTCTCATTTGAATTCCAGGGACCTAAGAACAGGCTCTGTTTGCCAAGGTTGGCAAGGACATAAAGAGGCTGACAACAGGAAAGGAGACAGGTGGTTAAGTGTATTAAGTACTGTCAACTAGCGAACAGAGGAGCACAGCACAGTACCCTATTGCTGTAGATAACACACAAACAAAACAAAGAAAATGAAAATCGTGGGCAAGTCACTCCAAGATACAATCACCAATTAAATATAAACACAAAAACGTCACAATGCCTCAGAGACAACAGAGCATCACAGTCCAAGATAAAGCAGGAGAAACAAGGGACCTGGATACAGACCCAAAACACATCCCTGAAGAAGATGCAGCACTGGAACTCCCTGATAAAGAATTCAAAAGAATTTTATTTAGATATCTTCAAAGGATTGAGAGACAGATCAAGGAAAACACAGACAAAATCCTAGAAGAATTTCAGAAGAAAATACAAGAACAAAATGACAAAATAAATGAAAAATTATAAATGATCCTAAATCTACAGACAGAAATCCAGAAGATTAATACTAAATTTTCAGAAATAGTTAACACATTGAAAGGCCAAAGGAGTAAAATTGATGCAATGGAAGACAGAATTAATGAGATTGAAGACAAATACCTGAATACGTCTTTGGAAAGGGATCAATCAGTAAAAAGATCAAAACAAAATGAAAAAGCCTAAGGTCCATGTACAATACCATCAAAAGGAATAACCTACGTGTCACTAGAATTCCAGAACAGGAAGAGAAAAATAAAACCACAGAGAAAATTGTCAAAGATTTGTTGGGAGAGAACTTCCCTGATACGATGAACAATGAGAATACATCTATTCAGGAAGTCCAACGAACTCCAAACAGGACAGACCCCCAAAGAAAATCACAAAGACGTATCATCATCAAACTTAGCAAAACCAAAGACAAAGAAAGAATCATGAGAGCAGCACAGGAAAAACGAAAAGTTACCCACAAGGGGCAACCAATAAGACTAAGCTTGGATTTCTTGGCAGAAACCATGCTGGCGAGAAGACGATGGGGTGGTATATATAAAACCCTGAAAGAGAAAAATTTCCAACCAAGAATTATGTATCCAGCAACACTGTCCCTCAAATATGATGGTGAAATTAAGACATTTTCAGATAAGCAGAAATTAAAGGAATTTGTTAAAACCAGACCAAACTTACAAGAGATACTAAAGGGAGTCCTTTGGACAGAGAAGCAGCAACAGTCAACAACAACTGACCATTAACACACAGGATGATATAACCCAGAAACCAACCCAGCTATGGAAGTATCCAAAGTAAATAAACCTACAAGATTATAAACAGGGAACCAGAGACATAAATTGACAAAGGAGAATAACTACAAACCAAAAAGGGGAAAAACTGTGTCATTACAGAACTTCTAGATGGTAGGGAAGTCAAGACAACTATAAGACAGAATAGATTGTTCTAAACTTGGGGAGAAAACTATAAATCACAGGGTAACCTCAAAGAAAAATGATAAACCTTCACATCAAAATAAAAAAGACCAGCACAAATATCTAGCAAATACTAAAACAACAGCAACAAAGGAAGTGATAACACGATTCATAAACAAAAGGAGCTCAGCATAGAAAATTATATGGAACAAAGAAATCGACACCACGAAAAAGCACATAACAAAAATGACAGCAACAAATTCATATTTGCCAATAATTACTTATCTGGCAAGGGACTTATCTCTAAGATTTATAGAAAACTCCAATGCCTCAACAGCAAAGGAATCAACAATCCAATTGAAAAATGGGCAGAAGACATGAATAGACGCTTCACCAAGAGGATATTCAGGTGGCCAGCTAATACATGAAGAGATGCTCACAATCATTGGCCATCAGAGAGGTGCAAATCAAAACAACAATGAGATAGCATCTCATCCCAGCACTGATGGCAAGGTTCAATAAGACAGAAAATAACAAATGCTGGCGGGGATGTGGAGAGATTGGGACTCTCATACACTGATGGAGGGACTGTGAAGTGATACAACCACTGTGGAAAGCAGTATGGTGATTCCTTAGAAAGCTGGAATTGGAGATACCATTTGACCTAGTAATGCCATCACTAGGTATATATCCTTGAGAGGTGAGAACCAGGACACTCATGTTCATCATAGCACTGTTTACAATAACAAAAAGACGGAAACAACCTACATGCCCATCAGCGGAAAAGTGGATGTCCTAACTATGGTACATACACATACTGAATGCTATGCAGCACTAAAGAATAATGTAGAGTCTGCAAAACACGGCACAATATGGATGAACTTGGAGGACACTATGCTGAGTGAAATAAGTCATTCACAGAAAGACAAATATAGTATTAGTTCGTTGTTGTGGAGGGTCAAGGAAAGGTTTATATATGGAGGGAAACTTTCTTTGTTGATTGCCAGGGGTGGGAGGGGAGTGGAGAGAACACTGCGGAAAAAAAAAAAAAGCAATGACCCATGTCACTTTAGTTTCGTGTATTTCACTGAACATAAATTATACTTCAATATAATGCATTGAAAAAAAAAAAAGAAAAAGAAAAGAACCACTGGATATGTTACCATCTACTAATAAACTGAGTTATTAGTAAAAAGTGTTGAGATCCAATCAAGGACTAGACTTCAGTGGGAAAACATTAGAATGCAAAGAAAAATGGATTTGGAGGTTGATGACTTTAAAAAAAAAATTCTGACATTAATTATTGAAGCTGCAGCATGTCATGTATTACATCTAAGTCTCACTTTCTCTATCGCTACAATGCCACAATACCTGTTTTATCTGCTTCCTGGGTTATAGGAATCAAAAGAGCTGATATGTAAATAAAACAAATATATAAACTTTGAAATCCTACCATTATACCTTGTGATATTATTATTATTAAGCTGAGTAATCCTGTTACTCTTCAGTCCCTAGGATTTATAGAGTGGCCTTTGGTTATAAGCAACACAGGTAAGATGTGTCATGAAGGTCAAGAGAAGACAGTGGTCCACAAGATTGTTATGAAGGCTGTGAGGGTGTTACTCACCTGCCTTTGATCTGTCTATGTAGAAGTCTTTTGGATATTTGCTTATGTTCTGGAGTCTCTGCCACACTCTTAGTCAGCAGTTTATGATAATCTAAAATGTAAAAACAATGTAACTTATAAATATCACATGACCTTATTAAGACGCAGCAAGGCAAAGGTAGCAGTTTGAATTTATATATGATTATATTTAGTCGAAGTGGATCTTAATGGTCTTTGGGCTGATGTCTAACCAAGGACTCAATTTAAAATGATATAATAGATTATCAGCATTATTAGAAATTGAAAAAAAAAAAAAAAAATGTAAATTATTACCCAGTAAGAAATTGTGAAAAAAAGAAAGTTGCTGTTATTAGGACTAACACATTCTTCCATCTAGTTTGTTGTTTTTGTACTTATGATTAAACGCAACAGCTAGTTGCTATAGAGTCAATTCTGACTCTTGGCGACCCCATGAGTGTCAGAGCAGAACTGTATCCCATAGGGATTCCAATGGCTGATTTTTTGGAAATAGACTGACAGGCCTTTCTTCTGAGGTGCATCTGAGTGGACTCGAACCTCCAACTTGCTGGTTAGCAGCTAAGTGCATCAACCGTTTGCACAACCCAAGGACTCCTAAACCAAAAAACCAAATTTACTGCCACTGAGTCAATTCTGACTCATACTGACCCCAACGGGTTTCTGAGGCAGTAGATCTTTACAGAAGTAGACTGCCCCATCTTCCTTTCACGGAGTGACTGGTGGGTTTGAACTGCCAACCTTCTGGTTAGCAGTCAAATGCCTTAGGCACTGTACCACCACAGCTCCTTTCACACCCACTAGGATGGCTATAATTAAAAAAAGACAGACAGTAACAGGTGTTGGTGAAGACGTGGAGAAATTGGATTCTCATACTTTGCTGATAAGAATATAAAATGATGCAGTTGCTTTGGAAAACAGTCTGGCAACTCCTCAAAAAGTTAAAAACAGTTACACACAATGTAGTAATTCCAGTCCTAAGTATATACCCAACAGAATTAAAAACATATTTGCATATAAGATCTTATACACAAATATTTATACCAGAATTATTCATAAAAGCCAAAAAGAAAAGCAGCCCAAATATCCATCAATTGATGAATGAATAAAGAAAATGTAATATATAGCCATACAATGGAATTATTATTCAGCCATAAAAAGGAATGATACTTATAACATGGATGAACCTTGAAAACATGCTAAATGAAAGAAGACAGAAACAATAGGCCACGTATATACATATATGAAATGTCTGGAATAGGCAAATCAAGAGAAAGAAAGTAGACCTTGGAAACATGCTAAATAAAAGAAACCAATCACAAAGGACCACATGTTACACGATTCAATTTATATGAAATATTCACAACAGGTAAATCTATAGAAACAGAAAATAAGATTGGTGGTTCCCTATGGCAGGGAAAATTGGGAGAGTGTCTGCTAAGCATAGGGTTTCCTCTTGAGGTGAGGAAAATGTTCTGGAATTAGATAGTGCTGATGGTTGTACAACTTGTATATATTCTAGAAAGTACTGAATTGTATACCTTAAACAGGTGAATTTTATGCTACATAGTTCTATCTCAAGTTTTTAAAAAAGAAAAAAAAGTGAAAATATTAGAAAACAACTGGTCATAGCAGTAAAATTGAACACTATCCTTTATTTTTAACTGGTTTTCTAAATAAATGCAAGGAGGTCTGGCAGTGTAGTGCCTAAGGCACTTGACTGCTAATCAGAAGGCTCGAGGTTCAAACCCACCAGCCACTCCTTGGAAGGAAGGTTGGGCAATCTATTTCCGTAGTGATACTGGCTCAGAAACCCAAGGAGGGGTCCCTATGAGTTGGGTCCAACTCTATGGCACATAACAACAAAATAAATGCAAGAAAATATTTTTTGAAATTGGAATCAGGTTCAAAGAATAACAATACATAATCTGTATCCACTACCAGTTTAAGAATTAGGCTACCCCGAAATGTCTTGTTCTTTACTTTCCTTTTCTTCCCTACATATAACCTTCTGTGCCAACGAATGTCACTGAACAATATGTATAGAAACTGTTACATGGATACCTAATTTGTTGTGTAAACTTTTACCAAAAACACAATTAAAAAAAAAAAAAAAAATTCCCCAGGGGATTCTGATGTTTAGTCAAGCACATGGGAAGCACTGATTCTCTTAATTGGTACTAAGTATTTTATTTCATATTGTTCTTTATTTTTTCAAATGTCTTGCCTCTTCTCCACAGCAAGTTCTTAGAAGAAAGGACTGTATCTCTGTATCTTCAACATCTAGCTTTGTACCTGACATATATTAGGCATCTAGATTAAAATGTTTTATTTGCATTATGACATGATAGTTTCCCTGTTCCAATCTGTATATCTAAGAAGTAAGTATTCTATTTCACTCAAACTGCAAACTGAAACTGCAAAACAAACCAAAACAAAATCAATGTAATTAAAGCTTCCTAGAAGACCTAGATGCCGGACCCTGACAGCTGATTAGGAGGGTAAGGTAAATCTCCTGCAGGAGAAAAGCCAATCTCCGTCTGGAGGCACTGCAACTGTAAAAGGCTTACTAGAGGTGTTCTGCATACTCTGCCTGGGAAGAAGGGCCACCTTCAAGTGAAACAGAACTGAAAAGCTCTGGACTGAGATCTTATGTCAGAGTGGAGTCAGGAAAGAGACAAAAGACAGACTATAAGAAGTCTGTCCTCTCATGCTGATTGTCTCAATGTTTTCACAATATTTATTATACATTATTTCCCCACAGTGATTAGCAGTAAAACCTTTAAACTGAAAAAGGTCTGCATGCTTGTCTGGAGAAGGAGCTAGACTGGGAGAGACTAATTAATTAATTCTGCATCTAAGCTTGGAGGGAAAGAAAAACCCCAAATGCAAAATTATTTGATAGCAACCATAGAAAGAGGAAAAGACTGAAACCTAATGAGCTTCTGCAACAAAGAATCTGGGGACTGGTTTGGGTCCAAGAAGCCCTTTCTCTCAGTTCCTCTAAAATGCAGTACCTTTGGTCCTCTTGAAGTTGTCAGATTTATACTCTAGACCCTCCACAGCTGACACAGAATGGCTTCGAGGCAACCCCTGCTTTAGTGATCTCTTTGAAGGAGAAAGCATTTCCTGGTTGAAAAGATTTCTTCGAACTTTGGTCACTTCTGAATCATCATTAAAAAAAAAAAAAAAAAAAAAGACCAAATATTATGACTAACAAATACCATATCTAAGAAAAGATATCCAAAACAGAAGCTGCTTAAGGACACTGTTCTAGAGATTGACTGCTATATTCACATTTAGCAACAGGATTTCCTTAAATATTATACTGCCATGGTGTATTCAAACTATCTACCCCTTCAAACTCTACTTAAACTCAACTTTTCAGGAACACAAAGCAGGTCCACATCACTTAAATTAAAAGCTTTACTCATTGCTAAATGGGCGTATCTTTAAGTAAAAATGTGGCCAATATAAGTCATGGTCCTTTTAATATAGCCCAGTGTTGTGACTGTTCTCATCTTAAACCTTTTGGCTACCAGTTTTTCAGCTCACCTTTGAGCACAGAATCTGTTCTTTTCAATCCCACAGATTTCATTCTTTTTCTTATAATCATTTTACTAATTTTCTGGGTTATTTTTAATTATATTCCTGACTCCAAAACATGAATAGTTCTAAGATCATAGAAACTCAAAGGAGGAAACATAGTTGAAAAGTCAAGAAAGACTTGACACAGCTAAAAGGGTAGCATCTTAAACAAGATGGCCTAGTGGAAGCTACTCAAAAATTCATCAAAGGTAAATTCTACGAGCAACTCATTTAAATAAACCCCAAATAAACCAGGATCCAAAAATTAGGAAGAGCCCCTGTGTTTACCCATTACTTAGATAAACGTTAATGGAAAGGACACCAATAACATACACCAAAGTTTCAAAAGATACTTCTCCATCTCCATTACAAGAGGCCCTGACTTAGGCTGTCTGTGAAATTTATGACCTGGATGCCATATTCGATTTGTTACTTTCTCTTTGTTGCCCAACTTTTTTTTTTTAAATATAATATCTATAGAAAATTTCAAAGAATAATAAACACATACACCCTTCATCAAAATTCACCAACTGTTAACAGTCCCATCTACTCCTTTTTACACATACATATTTTTCCCCCTGAACCATTTGAGAGTAAATTGCAGACATCATAACCTTTTACTTCCCTGTACTTTAGCATATATCTTTGAAGACCAAAGACTTTCTACTACATAACCACAATGCCACTATTATACTAAAAATGTTTCTAACATTGATACCATATTATCTAGCATATCATCCATATTCAAATTTCTCTAGTTACCCCAATAATATCTTTTATAGCTTCCCCACTCCCAAACTTTAGAATCCAGGCAAAGATCATATAATACACTTGGTTATATGCTTAAACCCCTTTTGCATAAAACAGTCTCCCCATTTAAACCCCTTTCATCTAAAACAGTTTTCATCTGTCTTTTTGCTTTTTTGTCTTTCAAAACTTGTTTTTTTAGGTTTCAGGCCAGTTATTTTGTAGAATACAGTATTCTGAGACCACATGAATACTGTGGTTCCCTTGGGCATGGAATTTGGACATACTTTATTAACCAACAATTATATAAAACCATTAATTTATAGCTGTATGCATCTGTTTAAATATATGCAACCAAAATAAATTTATCATTATGGTGAATAAATCTTTAAATTGAGTAGACAAAGAATACCTTGTACTGTATCTTTCACTGCAGGTGGAGGCTGCAGCAGAGCAGAGTGAGAGTTCTCCTAATACATAAAGAAAATCCAATAAGAAAAATTTTAAAAGTATCCATATAAAATAAAATGAATAATAGTAATAATAATAAAAAAAAAAAACCCTGAAATGAAATCCTTTGACTCTTGCAGTTCCATTTGCAGGAATCTTTATAATTGTAAAATGCACAAGAATAAATATAGGTTATAAGGACACTATACTCACTGCTGCATTGTTGTAGAAATATAAAATAAGAAACATCCTAAATGCCCATAAAGAGTGAAATAATTAGTAAATTGATACATGTATCCAATGTAGGCACTGAAAGAATAAGGAAAAGCTGTATATACTAACATAGAAAGATGTCCACGATGTAAAAAAAGTGATGAACAGCAAATTGCAGAGTAGGTTGACCATTTTTTAGTTAAAACAAAAACCTGTGTGTGTATATGTATGTGTGTATAAGAGATATGTACACACCTCTTCCACATATCGACACATTGGTATACACAGAAAAACATTTGGTAAGATCCATAATGCATAAACTTATCACTGATTACTTCTGAAGGATGGATGGAGAGGCATGCTCTCTAACTTTTAACTTTGCATGATTTCAGCTTTCAAATGATGATTACGTATACCTCTTATAATTCAAAAACAAAGGAAACCCACATAAACTAATTAAAGGGTGGTTATGGGGCACAGTGGTTCAGTAATAGAATTCGCTTTTCCATGAAAGAGACCCAGGTTTGATTCCCAGCCAATGTATCTCAGGTGCAGCTACCACCCCGTCAGTGGAGGCTTGCATGCTGCTATGATTCTGAACAGGTTTCAGTGGAGTTTTCAGACTAAGATGAACTGGAGGAAGGGCCTGGCAATCTGCTTCTGAAAAGCAGGCAATGAAAACCTTCACACTAATTCTATAAAAACTCAACATCTGGTCCTTTCAGTAAACAGCTGTTACTTAGCTGTGTTACCACTCACTGATTTTCACATAAGAAAACACTCTTAGATTACTGCTTCTAAAGGTAGTGCTCACAGAACTGAGATAGCTGATTTCTACCTACTGCCACTGAGTCTATTCCAACTCACAGTGATCATATAGGATAGAGTAGAACTGCCCCATAAGGTTTCCAAGGCTGTAAATCTTTACGGAAGCAGACTGCCTCATCTTTTTCCCATGCAGTGCTTGGTGGGTTTGAACCACCAACCTTTTGGTCAGCTGCTGAATGCCTTTACCACTACACTACCAGAACTCCTTAGATAGGGGATTAGGGCAGTTCAAAAGTTTCAATGCATTCTTAGTCTCTCCTTTCTTTAGCAAGACATTAATTCCACTTAGTAAATATAGACTCCAGTTGGGGATTTTTGGTAATCAACCAAAACCTTCAATTCTTGTATCTAATAAACACAGAAAAACAATGACCACTTTGAGTCTTTCTTTGCCAATGAATTTGATATTGAAGTAAAACATACATACTGAAAAGTATTTTTTGGTATGCAACCAAAGTCCTATTATGATTGTACATTCAATTTTAATGACCTGTTTGCTTATTTTAGTTATTATTTATGTATTTTTAAAATCTACCTTAAATATTTTTAAATAATATGTTTATAACAACTTATTTTTTTGCTATTTTGGTAATCCCTTAACAAATTTGTGTTTCTTTATTCCTTGGATTACAGTTTCATACACATTCATAAAAAATATTTAATTTTATTTCTGCATCCTCCAATGTCCATTCCCTAAATGTAGAGACACTGCTTTTCATTCTTATTTATTATGTCAATTCAAGCCAGAATAAACAACTTCATTGCTGGAGATTACTCACATTTTTTGGAGCTCTCTTGGACACTTTGGGAATTTCAATTTGTCGAAGATTCTGTGAAACCTCTGCAATGCTTTTATGTCTGATTAATGCATTTTTCCTTTTAAAAACAGAAAGAGAGACACACTAGATAGCTGTTACAAGTAGTTAAATTGGAATGGAACTAGAGTCTAAAAGAAAACAAAGCCAGTTATGTTCTTACTTGGCCTAGATATATAGCCCGCCACAATTTCCAAAAGAAACTACTATAAATACAACTGTTGTTGTTGTTGTTGTTATGTGCCATCAAGTCGGACCCGACTCATAGCAACCCCTCCTTGGGTTTCCAAGGCAGTATCACTACGGAAGTAGATTG